TCCAGAGAATTAAAATCTCAATGTTAATGAGAGCGTGTATGAGTCGACCATACATTTATACCGACAATATATTTCTACGATTGTTCAAAGGAATATAGAGCACGATGATATCGAACCATACTCTTGCAATACGAAAGCAATGAGAACATTGGCCTAAATGCGTTCAAGTAATCCAGGAATAAATTTAATATTTGACAGAGACAGATATTTGGTGTGATAGTGCTACTCAACCAAGTGTAAAGCCTGTAGGACATAGCATAATTCTTTGTTAGAAAGCGTATTGAGATAATGAGGTCCTAATTATTCTCATAATGCCCTGGATTCAAATATGAAAAGTTATACTTCTCTATCTTGAACACAAAAATGTTCAACTACTTAATCTATAAATAGCCTCCAAAGTAATGGAGACGCAGCTAAAGATTGTGGATTAAATGTCTCAGTAAAATTTTATTTAAGAGATAGATCGATGTGAAGCAGTTGTTATGTTTTTATCTATAATCAAGTGGTTTTTAATTACATTGTATATTTACACTGAAATGTTCACATTTGGATTAAATCAATCCAGACGGGAGTGACATACTTGTCTAAGTGACCACTTGATTGCAAAGGGATGAGAACTGAATACATTATGCCTTGCGCATTTATAATGGAAATAAATGTTGTTTCCAAATATCACTGTATCTACAATGATGTAGACATAATATGTACTCATAATGGAACCTGAGACATATTACAAACTTGAAAATCATAATTGAGATAAAGGATCTTGGGAAACTCGGGTCTGTCTTTAAATTAAACACCGAGTTGGTTGAATATTAATTCACCAGTTGCATATATCCAAAAAAAAAAATCTCAGGCAAATTAACATGGATAAATGTAAAGTGTTAGCACTCTCATTATCGGTCAAAATATGGATGCTAGAAAAGATATCCATTATTGAAAAGTTATTGGGAGAAGGAATTCTCTATGAAAGTGCAATATGCGCATGATTGTACTTTGACAATCACATTTGACCAAATATTATATTCTCAAGAACGTGTTAGCTAAAAATAGCCCAGGACCATCACATCGTATATCGTCATTGGAATGGTATCAAGAATATATTTTGATATCTATATGGACCATTGGAGTAATCTTTATTCATCCCTTATAAATGATTGATGATAACAATATTCCTTAAGGAATTGAAAACATCAAAAGTATTACTCTAACACAAAATAACGTGATTTGAGTTTTACCGATGGTATGTATCCCCTTACTATATTGATATTTTATTAATGAGTATATATTTATCATGAAAGAAACCATGATGTTATATACGAAATACCTTGATAAAAGTATATATCAAGTAAATGTTAGATTCTTATTGATGTGTTGCACTCAGGGGGAGTACTTACACACTTATTTAGCATCAATTATATTATATTGGTGCGTTGTACTCTTTTCCCTTTTTGACCAAGGTTTATTTTTTTTCCATTGAGTTTTGTTACTTGGTAAGGTTTTTTTGAGCCAACACAATATGCACCATCACACACTTTAATTTTGCAAAGGTAAAACTACGTTGAAGGAAGAACATAATTAATATATTGCAGTCAAAAATAATTGACGCGTGCTTATTAGTGCATCATATTTTTCCTTTGACCGATGTTTATTTTTTCCATTGGGTTTTGTTCATTGGCAACAAGTTTAACAAGTTAATAATTTTTACATTAATCACCTTACACTCGACACACAGGGGGAGAATTAAAGGAATTATATTCCTCTATTTGTGTGCCTTCGCTAAGGTAAGTAATGTGACAAGTATTGGAATGCATGAACTTTCCAAACATCCTTGATTAATTTAACTATTAAGGATATGTGTAGACTTGAGGAGGAGTTCCCCATCTACATTACGTTACACTCTTTTCCTTTAACCAAGTTTTATTTTTCCCATCGGGTTTTGTTACTTGGTAAGGTTTTTAATGAGGTAACAATACATATACGCTTTATTGATCAAAGCAAGGATCAAATAAAGACAGACTTAATGGAAGAAGTCTATCGTGATGCTATACTCTTTTTTCTAGTCAAGGTTATTTTTCCCACAGGGTTTTTGTGACTTGACAAAGATTTTGACGAGACAACAAGACAGATACCAAATTATATTCAACTCAGCACAAGGGGGAGTGTTGAAGGAAATTCTATGTAGTGTGCTATCGTTTATATAGAATATGTATTAGGGTCATTTCTATGTAAACTATGTAATCTGGGCCTATTGGCCCATACTTGTAAACCCTACTCTATCCCTATTTATAAGGGTATTCGGTAATGAAACTCTACGAACAATTCTCCCTACAACACAAATATCGTTTTCAATAATTGAAACACTAAAAAGGGTCAAACTGTCATTGGTTGGAACTCTATTTTCCAATTATTTTCTCTGTCCCATAATTTTTTCCCCGGTTTAACTTGGATTGCAGATTAAGAAACTGAGAATAAAGAAAAATTATTGTATAATTATAAGGGAAAATGGAAAATAATAATCCAACCTTTTAGAGCATCTCCAATGCTACAATGTGCACGGTGCACATGTGGCATGAGAGATAACCACATAAATATTAGTAAATAAATTCTTTCTCTCCTTATTTGAATGATTTTATACAGTTTTGGTAAGTTTTTCTCCACAATGTCAAGGAGACCGTCTGGATGTTGACATTGCAGTTGACATTATATTGCAGGGAAAAACATATCAAAATTGTATAAAATGATTCAAATAAGAAGAGAGATAATTTATTTGCTAATATTTATGTGGCTATTTCTCATGCCACATGTGCACTGTGCACATTCTAGCATTGGAGATGCTCTTAACGGTCTTTTTACAATAGTCTCACACTCTCACTTAATCGTAATTCAGGATAATGAACTCCATCTTCATTCGTTGGTCCCTGACCGGTTGATGACCTGCAATTACAAGTTTTTTCATTTTCTATGCAAACCATTAAACAATAAATCACTAAATCTCACCTTATACAAATCTTCTCAAAACGATCCCACACATGATTTTTAGTTTTGCTTCCTAAAATTTTTCTTTCCTTTTTATGTATTCCTATTTGTTGTATTCTCCTTTTATAATTTTTTCCGGGCTACTTGTTTCTATTTTTTCTTTGAAGTTTTTTAGAAAAAAAGAAAAATATAGGGGAAATTTCCCAAACAGTACTTAATGAAACTTTAATTGCAAGAATATGAGTATAACATCAAAATTCCCTAGCTTTTAAAAAAACTTCAAATTCCCTAAACAAGACTAGCTTTCCAATTCTACCCTTGCCTCGTTTTAGTGCAATTCATATTTCATTAATAACGAAAACATAAAAGTTATAACATAACTTATTCAACAACATTCAAGTCTTAATCCCAAAAGATTTTGGAGTCGGCTAACATCAATCGATCCATGATATCAATGCCAAAAAGAGAAAACAGACAAGAAGAAGAAAGAAAAAGAAAGATAAAACGAATAAGATAAAGATAAATAAATGTATGATAAAAATAACATAAGAATATGAGAAAGATAAAGGACAAAAAGATAAAAGAGCATAAAAAGCTAGAAGATAAAAAACATAAAAACATAAAAAGATAAAGAAGATAAATGATAAAAGAAAAGGAGAGAGGATAATAACATAAATTATTAAAACACAAAAATTAATTTTAAATAAATTATTAAAACTAAAACATTAGAAAAATAAAAAATTATATAATTAAACATTAAAAAAACAATAAAAAAAACATGCAGGCCTCTGCTGCCACTTCAATAACCTCCCAGCACCACCAGCTCCGACCATCAGAAAAAAATCCAACATGTATCAACAATACCATCTTGATGGTAGTTTTAAAAACAAAATTGGCATCTTCAAAGAGTAAAAATGCCACATTCGTGGCATATTTAGAGAAAAAATTGCAGTGTTTACACAAAATGACATTTTTTTGTCGATCGGAGTTGACATTGTTGGGAGGTGGCCGAGGTTGCGGGAAAAGCCTTCATTTTTATATTTCAATGTGTTTTATCTTTTTTTAAAAAAAATTATTATTTTTTACTATTTATTATTTTATTGTTTTTAAAAAATAAGTTTAAATTTATAATTTTTTGACTATATGTTTTATAAATTGAATTACTTTTTATTATTTTTTGTTTTTATTATAATGTAAAATATGATTATCCGATTAAGTTATGGTGAAAGTAGAATAACAATATAGAGTGTACTTTAGTCCTATTTTGGGAAGATAGATAACATAGTCCTATTTGTGTATTTAGAAATTAGTTTAGTCCTATATTCTCAAAAATATATTAGTGATGGGATCAAGGTAAGAAAGAAAAAAGGAGATAAATAAGTTTAAATAAAACGAAAGTAAAGTAAAAAAGTAGTACAGTGAGAAAAAGTTCTTTTATAAGAAGGAAACTAATCAAATAATATATATAAAACTAAAAATGAAATAAAAACAGGATGAAGAAAAAGAAGAAAAAATGGAATACATAAACATGGAAAAGGAATAAAAATAAGAATAAGAAAACGAAAAAGGGGAACAAAAGACGATAAAAATAAAAAGAGAAAAGTTATATGGACAAAAAAAGAAAAATGATATGTGGGGGTTGAGACCGTTTGGAGAAGATTTGTAAAAGGTGTTATTTATGATTTAATTTAACATTTAAGATATGCAAATGTTAAATTATTTCTGAATTAGGATTATGTGAGGTTATTATAAAAATATCGTTAAAAAATTGGATTATTAATTTCAACTTTCCCTAATCATAATTGAGTAGATAAGATTAGATTATTAATTTCAATTTTTCATATTAAATACACAAAAGATAAATGAAAATAGGTTATGTCTGTATACAGACAAAAAAATACTCTTCACAAATATGAGTGTGTAGATATGTGTATAAAAATGTGTACCAATAGATTTTTGGTAAATGAAAAGAGTTTTATGTAAAGAGGAAGGAGTATTTCTAAATCCATGTCCATGAAATTACAGTAGCTAGCTGAGACTAACTACGTCTACGCGTATATGACAGTTAACTGAGATCGCGGGTTTCGTTTTGAACCATGGAAGGAGAACAATCTTTAATGACCAATGGGTTTCTTTTTGTAGCGGAGAAGGGTTCTGTTATCCGATCGCAACATCTAACAATGGAGCGGTTCTAGGGTTTCCTCAAACCCGCCTACTGTATACACATTTCAGTTAAGACAGCTTGAAAAATGTCTCGACAAATCACATCTACAGCCTTCCACAAATCCAAGACACTCGACAATAAATACGTAATTCTTCATTCTTATTTAATTTGAATCATTACATAGTTGGGATTTTGATATTTCCACTAGCATTTTCATTTCGAGAGTGGCTTAAGTTGCTATGAGATCCTTCATTTAGGCTCTGTTGAGCTGAATAGTGTGGTTGATGATGGTGAACCGCACTGTTTATACTTCGGATGTGAAGCTTTGGATTTCTTTCTGGTTGTTAGATGCTTGGAGATGAGATTGGGAAAGGAGCGTATGGCAGAGTATATAAAGGTTTGGATTTAGAGAATGGGGACTTTGTTGCAATCAAGCAAGTGTCTTTGGAAAATATTGTCCAAGAGGATCTCAACATTATCATGGTATCCTTCATTGCCTACTTGACTGAAAATATATTGTTTAAAACAAAAGGGGAAATCCTTTGAATTCAGCTTTACCTACTTGACTGTTAGATTCATGCTATCTGAAGTCCATTTTTATTTACGCTCTGTTTGGGTAGGGTGGACTTAAGTATCCTAGTGTAACAAAGTAAACTTAGGTCTTAACAAAAACTAAGTGAACCTAAGCGAACTTAGGTGCATATGTAAAATGCTATATGGAAACAAATTAGGTGAACCTAGGCTGATGTAATAAATTGTTGTTTGGATGAATGAGCTCTAACTCATTAATGGCATAACCTCCAAAACCCTCTAATGTAATAAATTGTTGTTTGGATGGAGGTCCTTCATAACCTCCATAACCTCCAATTGTTTTCTATGGACTATTCTCAAGCACTTTTTAGGGGAAAATGTTTAAAGATTTGTCCTTTTATGAAATTTATTACTATCTCCGTCCCACTAGACATGATGAGGTGGTGCAATTATTAAGAAAAGTGGTTTATGTGGTTAATATCAATTGATAAAGTAAAAATAAAGTAAGAATGAGTTAGAATCACACAAACTTTACCAAATTTGGTATGAGAAAATCTTAGTGGGACGGACCGAAAAGGAAAGATGGGACAATCTTAGAGGGATGGAGGGAGTATTGATATGTCAAAGGACACTAGGTGATCTTTGGGTAAAGTTTGAGCTTGGGTATACCCAACCAATCAAAGCAAAATTTTCCCATCAGGTGGGATTAGTGTAATAAAATAAGCAACTTCCTTCCCTAATAGAGCAGAGAGCCATATCCTTTATATGCCCCATACTTCTGAGATCTGAGTATCTGACAATATAAATTTAGCAATTTTGTCCAACCTGATTACAACCATATCCTTTAAAAACGCGCCATACTCCTGAAAACATTATAGAGCTTTAGGGAATCTACTTCATATAATTAGATCTGATGCTAGCTCCTGACTCTAGCATTTTCATAAGTTCTTCTGGAACTTCTAAGCTACCGCAAATCATAAGCATATATGCTAATCAATGCTATAAGATGAAATGTATTTTGTTTCTATATTCTTAGACATTATCTCTCAAATATTAGAGAAAACTATTCAACCTGCCCCGGGATCAAATATTTAAATATCAGAGGAAGAACTCATGGACATTGAGTCTCAAAAATAATGATGTAATAGAGAAAATGGCAATGCCTTTTGAAAGTAGAAAATAAACTATTAAGTAAATTGGCAACACTTGTTTCTCAGAGAGCTTGCTTCTGTGAGACCTCACATTTAATTACTTCTGGGCTACAACCTCTTACTCAACAAGATATTTCTTTAATTACTCAATGTAATTTATAGTTATTGAATTTAGTGTACTTTTCGTGACATTTGATGAGCTACTTTTGTCTTTGAAATTTGACTCCCCGCTCTTGTTTTCCTTGGGCAATGCCATGATTGTTTTGATGCATGAATGATGTAGCAAGAGATCGATTTGCTCAAGGTAAGCATGCACTCTTACACCTTTTTATAATATATATTTATATATATGCCCATTCATCCAATTAAGTTTTCTTAGCATATTTCAGTGGACATTTATGATGGAGTTTTCCACAGCTTAATGTGTTGTCTTTCTCACAGAATTTGAACCACAAGAACATTGTCAAATATTTAGGATCCCTAAAGACAAAGACTCATCTTTTCATAATTCTTGAGTAAGCTACGCATATTACTTATTATGTTTGGTGTAGCAACTAGCAATTATGGTAAAAAGCACTAAAATATCAAACGCCCTCATGAAGGTATGTGGAGAACGGTTCACTTGCTAATATTATCAAACCCAACAAGTTTGGACCATTTCCAGAGTCTTTGGTTGCTCACTTCATTGCTCAGGTTTGGAAAGCAGCATTTTCTGGGTACTAAGATAGTTTTTTTTAAGCTCACGTAATGAAATACTTATTTATGATGATCATGGCCTTAACTCTACTAGGTACTGGAAGGGTTGGTTTATCTACATGAGCAAGGTGTGATTCATAGGGATATCAAAGGTGCAAATATATTGACAACGAAAGAGGTATACTTAATGCATTTATTATTGAGAAGTGAAAACTTGAATACTATTTTTTTGATCTATTTGGTCATCCAGTCATCCTTTTCCATGCCCTCTCTTTCACTCATTGTAAAAATGAGTTTCTTTTTAGGCATTTCTTTGTAAGCCTATCTCTTTTCATGTCAGGCTTATTTTTTAAGAGTATGATATGTATATTCTAAGTGCCTATTAGGCCTCAGTCATATAACCCTTCATTTATTTGTAGCTTGTGCATGTACGTTGTACATGTCATATTTGATAGTTGCATGGCCGCATAGCTGTGCCCAGTATAATATTTTTGTAGAATAAAGAGACAATTGTTTCATCTTTTGTGCCTTAATTTTTACATTATGCCCATACTCACACTCACAAGTCACACACACTCAAGCTTTAATTTGATTGGGCTAAGCTCACTAGGACTAGGGTTTTTATCAAGGATTGAAAAGGCGTAAGCCACACTTGCTAAATAGAATTTGTGTGTGTGTAGTCTCTAATAACATACTCTCTCTGCCCCTTAAACTTTGCCATCTTTGATTGACATGTAGAATAATATAAAGATATTAGCCACATATTAGCTACTATAAGGTAAAGTGGTAAACCATAAAGGGAAAGTTGGAAAAGTTTAGTGGGACATAGGTAGTATATGATTACTTAGTGCATAGTAACAGATATAATAATTGCATAACAAAGTTCTAGAATTCATTAGAATTTTTAACTTCTACACCATGCTTCCAAGGAGGGCTTCTTTATTCTTTGAGTTACACCAGCGCCACCAGTCTCTTTATTCTTTTTCATGAAAGTCTCTGAATAGAGCTTTAATTGAAAATATGAAGAAAAAAAAAGTATGCACAGTTGTGCAGAAGAGAAGAACAGAGACACAAAGTGACGAAACTCCGCTGAAGCTTAAACGATGTCTAGTGCACTCTGGTGTAGATGTGCTAGTAGGCTATAAGGTTATGTTAAATTAATATTGATTTTTCAAGTTAAGCCAAAGTAGGTTAGAGAAAGTATATCGCTTTACGCTGAAACAATAAAACCCTGCATCTATTTAAAAAAGAGTGTTATATAAATTCAGGATTTATTAAAAACAAACGAAGCAATAAACCTGTGCCTCAGCCACTTCGTGGGGAGGTGCCTCAATGCTTACGTCTCAGCCAAGTAAGGTGTACATTTCTTCCCCAAGCAGTGATGCTTAATTATCCGAACCTTTTTCTGTGTTCGCACTGAGGCGGCCTAGAGGTGGACATCCAGGTTTCCATTTAAACCATGGTTATTATTTAATTTTTTCCCTCAAGTTGAACTCGTTACAACTTACAATTGTAATCAGTTTTTAGACCTCAGAAAGTCGGATGAGGGTCTTAGTTAGTTTGGTGTATCAATTACTCAATTGATAAGCTGTGTGTGTGATATTACCATATTCTAGTTTTTGAAGTAAATTTCCCAAAAGCAGAAATTCATATCTAGCCAAGGCCATTGAATGATACTCTGCATGATAATCTTACTCTTCTAAGATATTAGATTATGTAACCACGAATGAAGATTTAATAATCCAATGTGGAGTGTGTATTTAACTGACTAACATATAATCTACCTAATCAGATATTTTGTATAAGATAATCCACGTATGGCCTTTATTTTTAGAGTAATCTTTGTTTGGATGCCTTCTTGATATACCTCGGAGTTTGAGTTGAGCCACCCCTGTGAGTACGACAAGGAGTTCCTCGAAATTAATGAGAGGTCACATTGAAGTTCTGTTTGTCATGGTGCTGCTGGTTCTTTCAAAGGAACTCTGGGAAGCATCATAAAAGCAAGATAACCACAAACTCACTGAAAATTTTGAAAACAATTTTTAGTACTGATTAGTGATTACTGACACAGGGTTAGACTGACTGTTGAACCAAGAGACATATCATGTTATAGTATGCTTTAAGTCTTACATAATTTCGTATATCTATATCCATAAGTTTGCTATAAGAATGAATAATCAGTTTGTTCTTGAAATCCTGCCACTGCTTTTTCTTATTGGTGTGCTTTTCAGGGTCTTGTGAAACTTGCAGATTTTGGTGTTGCGACTAAGTTAACTGAAGCCGATGCAAATACACATTCAGTTGTTGGAACACCATATTGGATGGCCCCTGAGGTATATAGGGATATATCCATTTATCTTCTTTTACTGGGTTTTGAGTGTTGACTTGGAATTAGTGCTTAATTGATTAGAATATTTGATACAAGACTAGATGCGTATGCATATACTGATATACATACATCATTGCATGGACTTTTTCCATAATGTACACGACACCTCTTCATAACACATTATTTACATAAGCTTTTATCAAATGGTTATATTAATGGAGAATTTCCAGTTATGTCGGCCAATGAAAAATGTGCCACACAAATGTGGCTGATGGTGTTGCCACCTATGGTAGAAGCATGGATGACATGGGGTGGTCATCAACAAACAGTTAAAAAAGGAAAGCAAATTACAGAGAATTTGAGAATGAATGGTTTCAGAGAAGGTATACCAAAAAGGAGTAGAAAAATTTACCTGAGGAGGATGGTTGTCATCACTTGTTGGTCAAAATGAGAGAGTGATAAGAAACAAATCGGCTTACTTGCTGAATGAAATGTAAAGAATACACAATCAGGTTCTTTTTTGTCAGGTTGCTAGTTTGGGTTGTGTCGCATTACTCACATGGTCTGTAGTCTTTTTTGTGCATCCCATGCTTTTATTAGGGTTCAATTTTGGACTGCCTTTTAAGGCAAATTTTAGGCCAGGTCACACCACATGGGATTTTGTCCTTTCTACATTTTTATATAGGGCCGAGCCATGTAAAACCCTGTAACGTCACCCTATGACAACACTATCATCAACTGAATGACTGATATATCTAGTTAATGCAAGTGAATTACTACAATTTCTAAGATTTAGAGACATATATTCCAATGCCCATACCCCTACCCAATATAATGCCCTACACTCATACACAATTTAAGGTTAACATTGGGTTATTACATAATTTTACATATTGGGCTAAGCACACTATGTTATTATGATAATGAAAATATTTTTGTCTTTTCATTTAAAACTGCTTAAAGTAAATGTCCTTTATATTTTGGATGGAGGGAGTAACGTATAATGCTTCAGGTAATTGAATTGTCCGGAGTTTGTGCCGCATCTGACATCTGGAGTGTTGGCTGTACTGTTATTGAGCTTCTTACATGTGTACCTCCATACTATGATCTCCAGCCCATGCCTGCTCTCTTTCGGATTGTCCAGGTGAGGTTTTGTTACTGTTGATTTAATTAGTTTTCTTTGTGGGAAAAATATACATCAGTTAATTGTATTCTTTACTTTTTTTTCGAGTAAAGGGTCAGTTTGGTCCTCGAAGTTGCATAAAAGGGGTCAAATAAGTCCTTATATAGGAGGTTCTATCCGGCCGTCGTCATTTGGGGCGGTTCCCGGTGAAATTTTTTGATGACATTTTTTGAGCATCTTATACATTAAGTCTAGTTTACTCATACTAAATTTCAGATAACAATTCAATCGGGAAGGCATTCAAATGAATTCTTGAAGATAACTGGGCAATTAAAAACACAGTTATCTTCAAGAATTCATTTGAATGCCTTCCCGATTGAATTTTTAGTTGAAATTTGGTATGAGTAAACTAAGACTTAATGAATAAGATGCTCAAAAAAATTTACCAAAAAATTCCACCGGGAACCGCCTCAAATGGCACGTCCGGACAGAATCTTCTACATAAGGACTTATTTGACCCCTTTTATGCAACTTCGAGGACCAAACTGACCCTTTACTCTCTTTTTTTCCCTGGTTTTTTGTGAATGATCTTTATCTCTTATTTAGATGATTTGAAAGAAATCATTTTATTGATCCTTTGTATTCAGGATATTTTTACTTGGTCTGGTCTGTGTAAGTCTGGTTTGGTAAATGTTTGGTCTTTGTGTATTTTATATCTATGGAAGTCTGGTCTGGTCTGGTATGTTTAAGGATGTTTTTACTTGGACTGTAATTCGTCCCAGACCAGACCAAACTTCGATAGTTATAAAAATACAAAGAAACATCCTAAGTCTGGTCTGGTTGGTTTAAGTCTAGTCTGGTCTGGGACTGAAAACAGTCCAAGTAAAAACATCCGCAGTGTAAATGTAATATTTGTTTGTTTGTTTGTTTATGAATTTATTCATTTACTTATTTATTTGTGTATTGATTTACTTACTTAAAGCAAAACAGGCACGTGTTTATCTTGAATTTGAAGTTCATATAAAAATGAATAAACTGAAAAGAAGCTGATGTCCAGTAGATATTATACAGATGCAGAAAGAGTAAATGATTATTTTGAACATAGAAAGGTTCGCAAAGACAAAAACTAAAAGTGTCAATAGAATGAAGAAATAGCTTGAAGCTTCTACTACACACCAAACCCTACCTCTCCTTTTCAGATCTTTTTATTTTATATTTTCAGGAGAATTTTAGGGCAATGTCCAAGAAGTTTCTTACTTACTTACTTCCTTACTGTGTCAGGATGAGCACCCGCCAATTCCTGATAGTCTTTCTCCTGCAATTACTGATTTTTTGCGTCAATGCTTCCAAAAGGTAAATGGAAAAATATGGTTTTGACGTTTTGTACATATAGCCTCTTGTTATTACTAATATCTTTTATGTCCATTAGTGCATGGTAAAGGCAAAAATAAATTATATGACTTGCTTGTGGTAGTTAAGCATGACTTTTTGTGTTGACCAAAGAGAGAATTTTCTATCAAGGATTTCTGGTATGATCTTCAGAGAATCTGGAGACTACATCTGTTTGTATATTGGATATATTCATGTGGCTTATGTTTCTCTTTAAAATGAGACTAATATGCATCAGTGAATGTAGTTAAAAATTGCTAGTAAAGATGTCCACAAAAATGAAGTCAACCACTGATGAAGTTTTAGAAGAGGCTGATAGGCATTTCAGATACTTAGATATTCTTATTTCCATGCTATAGTTATTGCTCGCAGGTATTTTTTTGCCATACTGCAAGACATTTGCCTTCGAAGAACAGTGAAATAAATTCTTCATTTTCTCTCTCTTCAGGGTTGCTTAAATTATTTCGATTTAGAAATATAATGAAGTCATGGTTTCTTTACTTGTCATGTTCTAGGAATTTATGTTATTTTTCTAGTAAAGAAAGTTTAAATTAAATTTAAATCTGATTCTTCTGCGGTGGGAACTCTGGAAGTTTGGATTGACATCTACTTGGGCCATTTTTGGTTATATGGAGTAGTAATCTTTTAGCGCTAATGTCGATTGAGATTTCTTATTATACTGATTATGGTGGGAATGTGTGTCTCTTCATTTAACCTTTTGTATAAGTTTGATTGACATACTATACCTGGTTTCTCCTTTAGTCCTGCAGACATTGGTTTTGCTGTATGTTTTTTGTTTGACAAGTGACCGTACACTTAGTGTCTCTCAGGATGCTAGGCAAAGGCCTGACGCGAAGACATTACTTTCACATCCTTGGTTGCAGAACTCAAGGCGTGCTTTGCAGTCCTCTCTGCGTCATAGTGGAACACTAAGGTATATTTTTTCTTATTGCTTCTGATGTTCTTGCTGGCTTTAGCTCATATAAGATGGTGGAAAACCCAATTGAACTTTTGTTGCTTGATTCATGTTTTACTTTATTGTGCTAGAAAGCACTCTTTTTTTGTAGTTTACTGCCACTGGTGATCTCTGGAATTTCTATTATTTCCATATGTGGAGTTTCCTTTTACTTGATTCCTTGCAGAAATATAGATGAAGATGAATCAGTAGATGTGGAGTTACTAAATCACAGCTCGGCTGAGGCAGCTTCTGCTGATAATTCAAAGGTATTCTCGATTGTGCTTCAGTATTTTATAGAACTTGGTCATAGTTGCCAAGTTACAATGCTTCAGCATGGTAACACAGCTTGAATTACAGGGTCCTGGTTCAGTGTTGCCTTCTCTGCAGGCTGTTGAGGTTAGCAAGTTGGCTGAAACAGAATTTTCTTGCATAGATCATGTTGCGGCAGAAGTGGATAACCTTGAAGATGATCTCATGTCAGATCAAGTTCCCACCCTAGCTATTCATGATAAATCTCTTGTAGATAGCTGCTCTGTTAATTTTGCCAGTAATCACGAGGCAGTTTCTTTGAGTTCATCAAATTTTCACGAGTCAGAGTTAGGTGAGCAGAAAAATGTGTTTCCAAATGCAGTCCAAGATCCCTCTGACTCTGGAATAGAAAATGGAGGATCAAAAAAAGTTGAGGAAAGGTGGCAAGCTTTGCAGGTTGATCATGGATCATTTGGTTTCAGACCCAATAACCATGGTCATAATTCTCAAAAGGTCAACGAACAAACTTTCATACCTCTTCTTCCCTCTTTCTGTTGAAACTGTTTGCTAATATGAAATTAGGAGTCCTTCCCGTGTTCAAGTTTCAAAATCTACATGTGTAATCAAACTTTAATGTTATATCTTGTTGATTAATTACGTAGTATTTGTCATACTATAATGATATGTTCCTTGTAGTGAAGGAGTTTTATGTATTTTCCATCCTAGTTCCTGACATGGATGCCTTCGTGGGCCGTACTTATCAATGGTGTCATCCACTGAAGATGGACCCAGAATACCATGCAGAGAGCGTCACTGCCCCCCCCCCCCCCCACAGCAAAAGTGGTTGATTGCGCCGGCCAAACTGCCAAGGCTGTGCCTTGTGCGCTGAGCAAAGCAATCCTATTACAATTATTTTTCTTATGTCATGTTTTCAGTTTTTGTTAGATTAGGAGTATATAAGCTCTTAGATGAACGAGCAGCTCTATCAGCCACCTGGTTGAAACAAGCAGCTCTATCAGCTCACTTGCCTGAAACAATGTCAATGTTTTTTCACCCAACAACACACCACCACAGGCACTACTAGTTGGGCTCCCAAACTTTTCACTTGCTTTGGGCAGAAAAATAGATACCACAGTCACTGAACCTACTTGGACTGATTTGTACATCCAATGTATGAAACAATTCCTTTGCTCTTGGTCACAGAACACGAAAACTCTTAGCACTTTTGTGTGGATTACCCAGAACTCCACTCCGAGACAGTAAATGTCATTATGTATCGAACATGGGCCCGGAGGCCCACGCAGAGAACATCGCTGATGGGCGCAACAAAAGTGGCTGTTTGGGTCAGCCAACTGCGAGGGCTGCCTTGTGGGCTAAGGATGTTTTCTTTTGGACTGTTTTCAGTCCCAGACCAGACGAGTTCAGACCAGAGCAAATCAGATAAGACCGGCCAGACCAGCAAATTTCAGTCCAAAAGAAAACATCCTAAGCTGGCAAGGCAATGAAGTTCAGATTTGCATTTGACACTGTATTTCATTTGCTTGGCCGCTCATGTTTATTTGACACTTCCACTAGGATCCACTGCTGTGCCCATTTCCGTAGGCAATGAAGATGTTGGTGAACTCTGGAGGCAATGAACTAAGCAGATATAGCAGTTCTTATTTCCTGTTTTGATTTTTAGTTAGACTAGAAGTCTATAAGCTCTTAGATTTCCTTATATTACTAGGACTCTTTTAATAGCTGTATAGGGTCATCAAGAGTATTGAATAAATTGCTTTTTGGAAGAATTAATTCTTGGGTGTCTTGACAAGGTCGGGCACAAAATAATTCCAATAAAACCTTGTTATTTTTTCGTCTCTCTCTCTCTCTCTCTCTCTCTCTCTCTCTCTCTCTCTCTCCTCATCATAGATCCAAAAATAATCTCTCTCTGTCATAGTTCGCTCCCAACCTCTCGTTCTCGATCTTCTACGAGATCTTTACGAATGCTCTTTACAGTTTCTTTGTGTGCATTATTACCTAGCTCAATATAAGCATCATTCTTGTACATATTCCCTAGTGTAATATCTATGAATAGAAACCTATAATACCTTCTTCACCCTTTTTTGCTTTTCATCAATGCAATTTAGTATTCCTATCTTATCATTTCAAGTGGAAAAATTATAGAAAATGATCTTTTGGAGACTCCTCTTTTACTCAATTATAGCTCATATGGAGACCTTTTCTGCTGTGAACTCTATTTATATTGACAAAATAATATCTTGCCCCTTCCTTTACATTTTGTCTTCTGATGATTATGTAGTTCAGCTTTGCATTCGACACTATATTGCATGTGCCACTTATGTTTATTTGACACTTCCACTATTGGATCCACTGCTGTGCCCATTTCTGTAGGCAATGAAGGTGTTGGTGAACTCTGGAGGCAATGAACTTAGCAGATTTAGTGACCCTCCAGCTGATGCCTCGTTGGATGATTTATTTCATCCTCTGGAGAAAACTCTGGAGAATCAGGCTGCTGAAGCACCTTCTTCTGCATCATCTTCAAATATAAATCAAGGCAACCCATTCCCTGACTCTGGGAAAAACAACCTGGCTACCAAATTAAGGGCTACAATTGCTCAAAAGAAAATGGAGAACGAATCAGGACAAGGAAATGGTGGAGATTTACTTCGTCTTGTGATGGGTGTTGTAAAGGAAGATGTAATTGACATCGATGGTCTGGTAAGCCTACGAATTTCTATTCTGGTTGACATCTCTTGATATTAATATTATACTCTTGCTTTCCAGGGTTTTGATGATAAATTGCTTGCAGAAAATTTGTTTCACCTTCAGGTAGTATTCCTTTCCCTCAACTTCTGTAGTTTGTTACTAAATGCAAAGCATTATGCTCGATGTAAAGAGTAAATTACAGGAAAGTTGGCAAACTTCTCTTCTGGCTTTCTGCTAGGCTGTGGAATTTACCAAGTTAGTCTCGTCTTTAAGACCAGATGAGCCAGACGACGTGATTGTGTCTGCATGTCGGAAGTTGATGGTTTTCTTTCATCAGCGGCCTGAGCAGATAGTTGTTTTTGTTACTCAGCATGGCTTGCTTCCTCTGATGGAACTACTGGAAGTTCCCAGAATTCGTGTATGGGTTCCATATGGTGCTATATGTAATGCTTTAAATTGTGTTTGTATATATGATAAATCAGTTGTTTGATTCATGTTTTTTTAAATTGCACACATTCCAGGTCATATGTTCAGTATTGCAAGTATTAAACCTGATAATCAAAGACAACACAGATTTCCAAGAAAATGCTTGTCTTGTGGGACTTGTAAGTAGTTCTTTGTATGTAATTCTCTAGTGAATAGTCAATACCTCCTCCTTCAAGCACTACATTTTAATATTTTATATATCCATTTGAAGAGTTGATTCTTTAGATACATCGCAGTTCTACACTTATTTGATGCCCAGGTTTGCCTGGATAAAAGTTTATTGCTTTGACCTTTTTTGTTTTTGTTTTTTGCATTATTAAAAGGATCCTGGATTCTGTAAAAAAATACTATAATATACTACCTCCGTCCCGAAAAGGCTCATCATATTGACTTTTCTTGGTCAATGTTGGCAAACTTTGAACGATGATTTTAATTATTATATTTGTATATAATTTATAATGTTTATACTTTTATGAAAGTATTTGAATGAGGAACATTTTGATATAATTTTCATATTCTAAATAATTTTGTATTAAGAGATATCATTAGTCAAAGTTGATTGTTGTTGACCAAGAAAGGTCAATTTGGCAAACCTTTTTGGGATGTAGGGAGTATGATTTAGTCCTTACAATCACACAAGATGTACATAAGCACCTCATGCAGATTGATCAAGTATTTAAAGTTTAAACTGCTCAAAGCCTGCTCTTGTGAATGTGTGTTCTCTAAATCTGTGCAAATTGGGCTCTTTAAAAGCATAAGCCCTTCTCCAATGGTAGCACATCACGGGGTGCTTAACACATGTCCCAAATTTTAAAACTCCAACTATTTAGTGTTGGCTGTAGGATACCAACCCATCTCTGTTTCCACTCCAACGGGGGCTGCTCCCTTGTATGGTCTTATTTATTTCTCTCTTTATTGCATGGACCTGCATATTATAGTTTATCAACATGCTATTCATATAAAAAAAAGTTATGATATGATTCATATAATTTATGAATGGTTGCATACTTGCATATTTGCAATCCAAACAAATAATTTGATACTAAAAGACAGATCATAACAAACTGAGATACTATAATCTTGAATACATAATACATTGCTAAATAAATGAAATTATCCATAAAAATAATCATTTCAACTTGGCTTTGAATTCAACTATGTTGGGGTCGCAGACATGGAGTTTTAATTCTATAGCCGGTCAATTGTCAAAAATTAGTCAAGGACTAATTCATGTATAATAGGAGTAACAAAGTTTCACACAAAATATACTTGTGTTAATCTTCTTACTTATTTTAAAACATTTTATCGTCATAGGTTGTTCACCTGGAAAGAAAATATCTCGAGATAACAATGATTCAGAATGTCTGGTAATTGTTATCGTCTTATCAATTTCAAGAATGATAATAAAAAACTAAATATGCACGTGGCGGAACACGACCATGATGGTGTCCTTCAGTTAAATATGTGGTTGCTCAACAAAACAACAGGTAGAGACATCTGGTTGGTCCCTCATGACGCCACTGTGACCCAAAAGTTATTACTTACTTTAAAATGAAGTAATAGAAAACCTTTTCATAGAAGGTTAATGTCTTCTAATGGTTGAGACTCTATGCTTAGCAATTTGTCGTACAACTCTGGCTTTTTTCAAAAAGGTGGACTGAAGCAAGAACGGTTACTAAGTTTTTACCAGTGCATGATAGGTTCCTGTTGTGATGAGCTTTGCTGCACCTGACCGTCCACGAGAAATTCGCATGGAAGCAGCATATTTTTTTCAACAACTTTGCCAATCGAGGTATGGAATTTGTGTCTTCCATCTTGTGTTCATGAACCAAGCTGGTTTAGAATCTAATGATGATGGTTATGGTGCAGTTCCTTGACACTGCAAATGTTCATTTCGAATCGGGGCATACCTGTTCTTGTTGGCTTTCTGGAAGCTGACTATGCAAAATATAGGTTGGTGGTCTGGTTTACATGCTCAGATAGAATAATTGTTTTGTTGTTATTTTTGTTTTTAATCATGAGTTCCCATGGAGTTCAAAAAAAAAAAATCATGAGTTCCCATGTTATGTATAGTCATGCATGTATCAATTTATGATTCAAGATATCTCTAGTGTACGCTAGAACTGTTTGTTCTTTAGGGCATTTGATTCTAATATCTGGCTTTTGGGTGTTGAGGAAAACTAATACTGGTCAGCATCTTAAAGGTATTACCATATTAGGTCTAATGTATGACTTTAGAATGCAAAATATTAATTTGTGAGGGAAGTTTTATTAGACTGATCATGGAAGGGAGAAGCATTAGATGTTGATGGAACTACTAAACTAGTAGCAGTTGGGCTTTCCAGTTGTAAAACTTGGATTCAAGTTTAGATATATGTTTCAATTGTGCATGAAACCACATCTTACTATCTTTCAGTATCTGGCCACTTGATTATTCTTGCACATGTTTAAGTTTGCAACATGGTTACACTACTTACACATTATTTATAACTTTATATGGTGTTTAAATATAAATGGTGCATAAATTACAAATCTTGAAATGTAAAAGTACTTCCAAATCCAGGGAAATGGTGCATATGGCTATTGATGGCATGTGGCAGGTGTTTAAGCTTCAACACTCCACACCAAGAAATGATTTTTGCCGTATAGCTGCAAAGAATGGAATACTGCTCAGGCTTATAAACACACTTTACAGCTTGAATGAGGCAACCCGTCTAGCTTTAGCATCTGGAGGTGGGGTTTCAGCAGATGGTGTAATTGCACAGCCACGTTCTGGCCCTCTAGATCCTAGTAATTCCTCTTTTATGCAGAATGAGACATCAACTTATGGAGCTGATCATCCAGATTTACTTAAACTTAAGCAAGGAGAGCACGTTTTACCTGCCAGTGCGCAAGAACCTTCACGTACATCATCCTCACAGTCGCCAGATTCGAGATTCTTTCCTGTAGAAGGTGATATGATTTCAACAGTAGAAGCCTCAGTTTCCTCAAAATTGCCTGATGTAGCATCCAAGGATCCTGCATCAAGAGATCGAGAAAGTGCAGATCGATTTAAAAATGATGTTTCTCGGGCTGAGGTTGAACTTAGGCAGCAAAGATCTTCCACTACAAATAGAACATCCACGGACAGGCCTCCAAAATTTTCAGAAGGGGCATCAAATGGAGTTTCAGTTGCAACTGCTACCCAGCAAGAGAATGTTCGACCCCTTCTTAGTTTGTTGGAGAAGGAACCCCCATCGCGCAACTATTCTGGTCAGCTTGAGTATGTTCGCCATCTCACAGGCATGGAGAAACATGATAGTATACTCCCTCTACTCCATACATCTTCTAATGATAAGAAAACAAATGGCTTGGATTTCTTGATGGCGGAGTTTGCAGGTAATGGCATCTGGCTAGTTATTGTTTTGTTAATGAATTCTCTGAAGCTTTGGATCTTTCTTACCTCTATCAAGCTGGCTTCACATTTCAGTAAATGTATAAGTTCCTTTTCCTAAAGGAAGCATCATCTTATTTTCTAGAAGTCATATTATCCCATCTTGTTTTCTGAAAAAAGTTGTTCTTATGAGGTTACATATTGCCTTATCAATGAGTTTGCAGAGGTTTCTTTGCGTGCTAGAGAAAATGCTAACATAGAGACTTTACCCAAAAGTACACAAAAAGCCACAAATAAGAAGGTAGGTCCGGTGGCTTCCACAGAGGGAGCTGCTTCCACTTCTGGAATTGCATCTCAAACTGCATCAAGTGTGTTATCTGGTTCAGGAGTTCTAAATGCTAGACCAGGGAGTGCAACATCTTCTGGATTACTTTCACATATGGTGTCACCTTGGAATGCTGACATTGCTAGGGAATACTTAGAGAAGGTAGCCGAGCTTCTACTTGAATTCTCTGCAGCAGATGCAACAGTGAAATCCTACATGTGCAGTCAAAGCTTGCTTAGCCGTCTTTTTCAGATGTTTAATAAGACAGAGCCTCCTATTCTTTTGAAGGTAAGGGAAATTATGAGATCATAAGTTGGATTTTCTTTTACGACTTTCTTCTTTCTGACTGGTTTTTGTGTTGCATGATGTCATAGTTGTTGAAGTGTATTAATCACCTTTCAACAGACCCACACTGCTTAGAACATCTCCAGCGAGCAGATGCAATCAAATATCTGATTCCCAATCTTGACCTCAAAGAGGGACCCCTTATTTCCCAAATCCATCATGAGGTGAGCCTTAAAAACTTCTATATTCATTCCATGACAGTTTGATGTCATCCGTATACAGTATTCCTAGTCTAGAATGTGATATAACTTTTACTTGTGAAAATTGAGTTTATTTGAGCAGGGTCATGGATATAAGGTTTAGAAACAGTTTCCATAGAGTTAATGTTGTGCTTGTATTCCTTTTCCATATCTTCACGCTGAATTAATAATCTGACAGTTTGTAACGTTTGGAAGAAATTTTTAAGCCATTTTTATTTTGATCATGTTGCCAATGCCATGGTGGCTCTGACACTAGTAATTTAGAACACGTTGACTTCCTTGTTGGAGAAACACAAATCCTTGATAGGGAGGATATTTTTGGTAGGTAGGGGGGGATGTACTCAGCCTTACCCTGTGCTAAAGCATAGAGAGACTGTTTCCGGATGACCCTGGTGAAAAAACGCATCAGAAATTGCATGAATTGACTGCTGCTTCATAACAAAGAAGTGCAGGGCAGTTTAGTGTATCATTTTGCTTTATTCCATCATACTTAGTATACTTATGTGCAATGAAATTGTAGGCAGTAATTACTGAACTGTTCCAAATCAGAGTGCAGACTATTTTTTAAAACAAATTGTGCACATGTTCCAATGCATGTGGATGCACCCTTACCAAAGTGATGTTTCTTTAGGTTCTCAATGCATTATTCAACCTCTGCAAGATCAATAAGAGGAGACAAGAACAGGCAGCAGAGAATGGAATTATCCCACATCTGATGCATTTTATAATGTCTGGATCTCCATTGAGACAATATGCTTTGCCTCTTTTATGCGATATGGCCCATGCCTCACGCAATTCTAGAGAACAGTTAAGGGCACATGGTGGATTGGATGTGTACCTGAGCCTTCTTGAAGATGAGCTTTGGTCTGTAACTGCATTAGATTCTATTGCTGTCTGTTTGGCACACGATAATGACAGCAGGAAGCTGGAACAAGCATTGCTTAAAAAGGATGCGATACAAAAATTGGTCAAGTTCTTCCAGTGCTGTCCAGAACAGCATTTTCTGCATATATTGGAGCCTTTCTTGAAGATTATCACGTACGTGTGTCGTTTGAAGTTTTAATGTTAAACACCATGTACATTTTCATCTTTCTGGGGACCGATTTTCATGTTCTCAGCTTTGCTGTTCTTTAATAGTAGAATTAACTTTAAATGCAGGAAATCATCTAGAATAAACACCACACTGGCAGTCAATGGTCTGACGCCACTGTTGATTTCTAGACTTGATCATCAGGATGCTATAGCTCGTCTTAATCTGCTAAAGCTAATAAAGGTAAGAAATTGTCCTATTTTTGTATTTTGATGTAATTTCTATGTGATATTAACAATAACAATCATATGTTCTTATGTTATTTTTATATTTTTTATGCTCTTTTATCTTTTTTATCTTTTAGCTTTATTATGTTCTTATGTTATTTTTACCTTATATTTATTTTTATCTTGTCCATTTTATCTTACTTTATCTTTTTATTCTTCTTATCTTTCTTCCTTTATTGGCTCTGATATCATGGATCGGTTCACGTTAGTCGACCCCAAAATCTTTTGGGAATAAGCCTTGGATGTTGTTGTTGTTGTATTAACAACAACTATAATAATTATTAGTGTATAATTATTATTTAAGTATTGGGATTCATACAAGTTCAATCCTATGAGGTTGCTGATGTAAGTACTCACTGGGCTACCCCTCTCGATTGTCATTCGATCTGAGATAGATGAAATTTTCTCACGGCGGAGGGTTGCGTGTAAAGATACTGAGTACAAGATAATTTTACTGGCTGAATTTTGACCTCACAAAGCAGCAAACAATCTATATTTAAAGGGAATAAAAAACTCCCTCCAGCTATAGATTTGGGGTTTAGCCTTCTTATTGGAGTTGAGTGGGAGTTGTTAACATCTGAAAAAAGGATTCTTTGTTTGTCTGCTAGGAATTTTTAATGGCTACTACTATTACATTCCTCTTGTATTATGACAAAAACTATTAACCCCTTTTAAGAACTTGGTCATTAACATGGGGCATGACAGGCTGTATATGAGCATCATCCACGTCCTAAGCAGCTAATAGTGGAGAATGATCTTCCTCAAAAGCTTCAAAATCTCATCGAGGAGCGCAGAGACGGACAAAGTTCAGGTGGCCAGGTTTTGGTGAAGCAAATGGCTACTTCTCTTCTTAAAGCTCTCCACATTAACACGGTTTTGTGAACATAAATAAATAATCAAATATTGATTAAGCAAAACAGTTTTTCTGATTTTCTTGCAGCTGTATAGTTTGGTGCTTCTTCACTCCACTTTGTAATTATCACTATTTTTCATCAATTTATAAATGTTGTGGTCAGACCTTTTTGTAACGTGCTGCCCTAATCTTATCGCAACTTGGAAGACTTTTTTAACGTGGCTTTATTGAAGTTCATTATAACGTCAAGCACACTGGCCTTGAGTAATGTTAAGTGGTTTAGTTTGAACATTCATTGAAAGCTGCATCTTAGTGTGAAGCTGAGTTTGCCACTTAGACTTTTAGGGCGTTGCCTAAAGAGAAGACGCTGAGATACTGTCATGGATGGTCAGAAGAGCTTCTCCGTATTTTTTATACAACGGAATGAATAGAGTTTCTTTAGAGTTTCATGCGACAGTAGAATATGGTTCAATGATTGAGGTAATATTAGTGTATGACTTAAAATGAGTGATGATTGAATCACCTAAATTTGTCGATGTTGTCGTTTGTTGCATCTCTTGAATAATCTTTACGATTGTTTACAGAATGAATTGAAGTATTTATATTGGAGAAGAAATGCTATTTCCCTGACGTTTAAGCCTTATATGTTATCATTCCATTGTATCTTTTCATTCCTGTCTCGACTGTCCGAAAATCAATGAATAATTCATTCCAATCTTGTACAGTTGTACTTAATAATTTGGTAAAAATCTCTTACTATTTCCTCTTCACCTCTTGTTGGCCTGTGGCAGTGGTTCTGGAGGAGAACTTATCAACAACGTCATCATAGATGGGTTGAGAAGCATAATTGGGTTTGATAAAAACATATCTAAAACTTGACGAATAACATCAATAGCAATTGGACAATAGTATAACTTTGTGAAAGCACTTGCATAGTTGCATCTATGGTTGGACTCGGGCCGGTTCGGGCCCAGCCGGGCCTCGGTTCATGAAAGAAGAGGCCCGGAACCGGCCTGGGTAACCCCCGGGTCGAGCCGGGCCTCGGTTCAATTTTTTTTTGGCTTTTCCTAATTAACCCCCAACCCTCCCCCCTCACCCCCAAACTACCTCAAATGGCCCAAAATACCCAGCCCAACCCAAAAACTTAAAAAAAAATCAAAAAAAAAAAAGAAAAAAACAATAAATTGGCTCGGACCGGGCCCGAACCGGCCGGGCCGGTTCACCTTTTGAGGGGCCCGAGCCCGGACTGGAACCCCAGCGGGTCGGGCCTACCCGGACCAGTCCCTGGCCGAGCCGGCGGTTTGGTCCGGTTCGAGCCGCTCGGCCCGAGTCTAGGCCTAGTTGCATCATTTATTTGAGAAGAAACCACCTATAGAGTGACTGTCAACATTGATAAAAGAACTCTACAAATTTTAGGAATAAAACACCACTCATATGAGTGCCATTACCATTTTTTTTTACTTACGTATAAACTCAGTATTGTGAAGAGTAATTCTCCTTCGACCTTCAAACTGAGAGAAGCAAAACTCTAAAATGTTGAAAGGAAAGAAAAATGTTGGAGGCGTGGAGGCGTGCTCTTTCTGCCCTTGAAGCTGGTTGAGATTGCCTCCTAACCCTAGGGTTTGAGTGGCGGCTACATCTCATTTAACTAGGTTATTTAATCATCAAATATTAAAAATAATAATTTGTAATATCACAATTATCATTTGTGACATCATTATATTTTATATATATCCATCAAAACTATTTGTCAAAATATATTTAAATTGTCTCATTTAATTATTGTCTAAATAATTGTGTCATTTTGCAATGAGAATCTTTAATCGGAAGGAAAGTATTAACTAGTACGAAGTAGGGGTGGACATATCGGTTTTCGGTTTGATTTTTATCGGTTTCAGTTCGGATCAGTCTGGAACGGGTTGGGAAAATTAGTACCAAACAAAAACCATATTATTTTTCGGTTTGGTTCGGTTCAGATTAGTTCGATTCGATTTGGATTTTTTATTTTTTAATAATATATAAAGGTTCTATTGAATTTCTTTAGTTCGGCTTTTATCGATTTCGGTCCGGTTTAATACGGTTTGAAAGAAATATTACCACACTCAAACCAAATTGCATATGATCCAGTTACGATTCGATTTGGTACGGGTACGGTTGTACGGTTGGATTCGGTTAAACCAAATCAATATGTCCACCCTAATAGGAAGTAATAGTTTTGGTTGTAATCTTGGAGATTAATGCTATTTACGGTTGTTTTTTGATAATACAATTTACAATAATTCAAATGCTAGGACTTAGGAGGCATACACAAAAGTTTTGGTGTCCTTCAGTTGTAAAAGACTTCAGCTTAGTGCTAGTCGTGAACAATGGGCGTCGTCCCTTGGAAGCAAGCGTTATTTTGATGTAGGTGATTATATGTGTAAACCAGTGCATATTGGCAACCCTACAAAGTGAAATCACAAAAGAGTCGGACTGGGATGGCAACAGGGTGGATCGGGGGCAGTTTTACATATAACCGTACCCGTCCCGTTGGATAATTTCCCCGTCCCGTAACCGCCCCATTACCCAATGGGTAATTTTTACTCAAACCATAACCGCCCCATTACCCAATGGGTAATTTTTACTCAAACCATAACCGCCCCAACGAGTAACGTGTAAAATTTCGGGTAACCGCGGGTAACCACTTTATTAAATGAGTCATTATATTTTTATATAAAAATAATATTATAAAAGGCGAAAAATGGCATTGCCTAGACGAATCTAGACTTCAAACGCCACTTTAAATATTCGTATATCTAAAAGATGAGAAAAAAAGGAACTTAAATTAATTTGGACATAAAAATACCTAAATCTAAAAAATAATTAATCATGAAAAAAAGATAATAATCAAACATGACTATTAAAATCTATGAAGAACTTTCATTCATACATTATAGTTAGTACATCTATAATCTATATATACATAATGAAAAGAGAAAAATATCATCTTTTAATAATTATGGGACAAATGATAGATAAAAAATGTAATAAAATTATAACTAAAAATAATTGGGGCGGGTACCTGCCCCGTACCCGTTACCCGGTCAATGCGGTTTTCCTCGTTTTGACTGGGGCGGTTCGGTGCGGGTATCCACCGGTTCGGTCACAATTGCCATCCCTAAGTCAGACTACAAAAATGTATAGAAAACAAACATTTCCTTGAATTGTTGTCTGAGATATGAATTAATTATCAGTCACACAACAATAATGTGCGTCAAAACTCTCCTTCCCCTTTTGATAACATCATCCACGCTAAATAAAATTGTCCATGTGGTTGATTTATATGATTGGTTACTTCTAGTCATGGACCCGGTTCGGGCCGCCCGGCCCGGTTCTCGGGTCCGGGTCCGGGTCGGGCCTAGGCCCGGTGGGGAGGCGGGTCCGGGCTCGGGCCTTGTATTTGGCAAACCGGCCCGGCCGGGTCCGGCCCGAGTCCGGGCCTGACTCGGGCCGAATTGATTTTTTTTTTTTTCATTTTTTGGGGTTACCCGGGTTGGGCTTGATGGTTAGGAGGGGTTTGGGGGTGGGGGTGAGGGGGGGGGTTAGGAAAGCAAAAAAAAAAATATGATCAAACCGGAGGCCCGGCCCGGACCCGGTGGCTACCCGGGCCGGACCCGGGCCTTCCTTCCCAAAAAAAGCCCGGCCCGGGTCCATGACTAGTTACTTCAATTCCAACTCTGCGATTTGAGTATATACACCAATTGAAATGTTAGATAGACTAATTTATTTTTGTCTTACACTGAAATAGTAGTCATAAATGTTGGAATGAATAAGAATTAAAGAAAGAATAAGAAAGCGAGCATAATTGATTTATAGACTTGAAAGAAATATGTGTGCAACATAAAAGCTTCAAAGAATGGAGACAAAACTTATAGAGGAACAGAAAAAACTTATTTTGAGTGCCTAAACTAATGAATTTAGACGTGCTATTAAAGGACCAAATGAAGTTTGGGTGATTCATGGCTGAATCAAGCCTGCTAATTGTTTACAGGAGCAACTTCAATGTGGGCTTCAGCCTCTGAGTTCTGATTATCTTCAGTATTTTAAGGAATTCAATTTGTAAACTTCCTCAACATCTTAGTGACAATTGATGCCTTTTCACGCCTAGGAGTCATTTTTCTCACTCACCATTAAAACTTTCTCCAAACTCCTTCACGCATTCCTCATAACTTCCTTCTACATAGTTTTTGTCCTACAACTAGAGAGACATGGAAACTTTCCTATCATATCAGATATTAGATCAATTACCGTCACAACACAATCAAGAAGAATTACGTAGTATCCTTGAGAGAGTTGTGAGATATTTTTTGAGTGTTTTTGCTAGAGCTTGTATGTTTTTTTTCTGAAAATAATAAAAGTATTTCTCTCACACATAAGCTCGTAAGTTATCCTTTAGTTCCCCAACAAGTTGTATCGGAATTTGATTGAGTTCCCAAACAAGGTGTCCACCCTATCATTTTCGACCATCTCGTACGCAAAGGTATTGCCCGTGTTTCAAAAGGATGCTATGATTTTTTTCTTAAAAGGAAAACCAAAATTATTTAGAAGGTATAAATGATCATTGACAAGTCAACTTAGAGGCCGTTTGGTAACACTGTTTTTCGGCTTATCAGGCTTATCGGTCAACTTTTCCACCAAACACGTAACTTTTGTTTTCGCTCGCTAAATTGTGTAATAATAAAAAAAAAGTAAGGTTGGAATTACTTTTCTGATTGTATTAGCTGAAGTTACTGTAGATAACCATTTTAGCTATTTTACATATAATATTTTCTTTATTTTATTAATAAAATATATTTAATTTTTTCCTTAAATCAGCAAAATCGGCCAATACAGCCATTTCAACAAGAACTTCACAAATTTCAGCAAAATCAGACGAATCAGCCGATTTTCATGTTATTAAACGTGCTCTTAATCTATCAAAACAATGATCATGATCACGGCTACCAACTATACATTGTGGAAACCTCAAATAGAAGATTTATTGGGACAAGTGAGAGTGGTACATTTGTTAAGAAAAGTAGAATTGTGTGGTTGATATTAAATTGAAAATGTCTTAATAAAGTAAGAATGAATTGTAATCACTCAAATATCACAAATATAATACTAGTATGTGATAAACTTAGTGAGAAAAAGTAAAATGAGAGTAGAAAACTATGAATCAATGCAGTGTTTTTTTTGTCGGACTTTCTAGTTTCAGTCTTATAGTATCCATTCAATATTAAATGTTGATATTTTTACTGGGATGAATTTTGAATATGTGATTTTCTCATTCTTAAGAATGTTTGCTTTTGGACTGTTTTTAGTCCCGGACCAGACTTAAACAGACAATCTCAGACCACATTAGACCAGACTTAAACAAATCAGATCAGACAAAACTAAACTTAACAGACCAGACCAGACTTGGATATTTATGAAATACACGGAGACCAGACGCTTACCATACCAAACCAAACAAGTTCAAACCAGATCAAATCAAATTTAAATAGATCAACCCAGATAAGACCACATCCTGTTTGGCCGAAATGCCGAATCAATGCAATGTCAACATTAATGTTTGGAATTTCACGTTACTTTTTCTTCTGTTTTCGGAGTTCTTTTCCAATAAAATACTTAATCATAAGGCAATGTTTCCAGTAAAAACTCATGGACGGCTCGGAAGGACGTCAAAGTCCATCCAACGGTGGAGATCACCAAAACATGAAAATCATTGAAGTTTACAACTCTCTCTTCAATTAGCATTTAGCAACCCCGCGAATTTTTGAAAATACTTTACGCTGCCCAACGCAGTCACCTCATCTCCCTCCCACCAATCTCTAGTCTAGACATCATATATACGGAGTACTTCGTATCTACACTGACAGATTTCTGAGCGGACGAAGATTGTGGAAGCTCGCCGGGGATTGTATGAAGCAAGGCGACTGGGAAAATCTTCCTGAATAAGAGGATGCAGGGGAAGACCTCAAAGAGAGGCAGCCTTAGGAGCAAGAAAAGAAGCGCCAAGAGTTCCTTGAACAGGCACTTGAAGGTCGGAGCCGGAGCTCAAACGCCTTTCTTTTCACTTCCGCAGCAGCCTCCAGCTGACCTTTCTGCTCCCGAATCCGCTGGGTTCCGAACCGTTCGGGACGAAGAAGTGTGGTCTGCGCCGGGGGTTAAATCTCAGTTACCTCTGGCGCAGTCGAATTTGCCCTCGACGCCATCTGTCGGCTCAGTCGCCTCCGCCGTCTCTGATGCTGGTGTGGATGAGAAAGATTTCATTCTTAGCCAGGATTTCTTCTGGTAAAGCCTCAATAAGTTGGATTTAGCATGTTTTAGGTTCATTATTTCTCTGCGGTTTGCAATGATTTTAATTGGTTTGTTTATTTGGGAACTAGCACCCCTGATTACATTACGCCCGATGCTCCGGCTATTCCAAATTGGTTGGATAATGAGAAGGTAATTGTGTTTCTTTAGAAATTGTGTAACATATTGTACATATTGTAATGGATTTACTGTCTAATAATATTGGACTGTCCTCTTTACAGGTGGATTTAATATGTCCCAACTCACCTGACAAAAGTAAATCCGTGGGAAGAAAAAGGCAGAAATTGGGTAACCCTTTTTCACCTTTCAAGTTTTGTTTCTCCCTATTAACCTCAATTTCAGCTGCTTTTCTTCTGTTGATAAATTTGTAAAATGTTTAAAGGTGGAACCTTCCCAGACATTCTCCTTAAGATGAATGCTTTGTGCTCTTGGCTGCCCTTTTACTAGTAGTTTAGTGACTATTATTGTATGTGCGAGTACATTTTAGTTATTTCAGCTTGGGTAAAAGATGGGAAAGCCACAAGTCATACGGAGTAATGTAAGAAAAACCGAAAAGCTACATAATAATACCACATGTTGGGCTTCAACTGACATGTTTAACTAAATACCGGTTCTAGAAAACCATTAGCTGGACAATGTTCCAGCTTGCAAGCTAGTGGGTCATTCTGAAGAAAAAAACTCATCAAGTTAAATGAGTGTCAATGTCATACTAGTTACCTATTCAGTGTAACTGCTCAATGGTTGTCTTATTGCAACTTTAAATTTATGCATAGATGGCTATGGATGTTTCTTGTGCCTTCTAGACCTTCATAGAGTAATGCATTTGTTGTCAGCTGAAGCACTCTATTACACAACTACCTAGTAACCGGCCACTGTAGTGCGCCCTTTTTATCCATATCTATGTTAATAGGTTAAAGTATTAGTACACATAACACATATGTGCTAGTGATGCAAATATTTGGTTTGAATTCTTCCTTGCTTTGACTCTCACAGTATTACTTGTCGCCATTAATGTCATGAGTAGAATACTCCATTTAACAATCTGCCATGTTAGTGGTGCTACTTGCTCGTCAAAAATCTTATTTGATACATTTTTGTGCACATTTTGCAGATGGTCTTTCAGTTTCTTTTGTTTCAAAACTTTATAATGAGCAACCAACACCTGATGTTGTAAATGATTCTTCTGTGGTAGAAGAGACAAAGTCAGAAAGCACAACAAAGCCACCAAAGAATCACAGTTATGTTTCACAATCTGCTGTAGCTTTAAGGTGCAGAGTCATGCCTCCGCCATGCATTCAAAACCCATATCTCAAGGATGCTTCAGAAAAAGATATTGATCCTTTTGGAAACCAAAGATCCAAATGTGCAGGTATTGGGTGTTTGATTGCATAAAAGTATTGTTTCTTTTATTTTGTTAAAGATTGGATCTTTAAAATACTCCCACCATCCCAAAATAAAACTTTTCCCAGATTAAATATTTTCATTTGTGAAAATGACCGATTAAAACAAAGGCATTTGACATTAAACTTATATAAGTATATATTTGGTATAAAACTCCTTAATTTGTATACACTTTTGTATTACAAAACAATTTTTTGGCACGGTGGGAGCAAACCAATAGTTCAGTAAGGCATACTTTTCTATGAAATGTGAGCGCTTTCATTTTTAGTGAGGTTCCATTTATAACCCTTGGAACTTGTAGCTTTTTATCCTGCGGTCTTGGACAATGATGGCCTTTCACGCTACCGTACAGATTTTCATGAGATTGAGGTATTTATTTACAATAGTCTTACAACAACCAGTAGTGCTTTTCTTTTTTGATGATTTCTAACTAGCATTTTTTATATGTATATTAGCAAATTGGCAGTGGAAATTTCAGTAATGTTTTTAAAGCCTTGAGGCGAATCGATGGTGTCTTGTATGCAGTGAAACATAGTACAAAGCAATTGTATTTGGACACAGAAAGGTATTCTCTTTATTCATTGATTGTTGTGCTTGCATGTGAATTTGGGCTCTTCACCTTACAATGCTTGATTGTTTTGGTTACACAGGAGAAGAGCTTTAATGGAAGTTCAAGTTCTTGCTGCGCTAGGCAAGTGCTTTATAAAGCTATTGAGCTGACCATACATCTATCCTACTGTTCATGTTTACTTATGAAGATAATTTATCATTCTTTATTTACAGGAATTCACAAGAACATTGTTGGCTATTACTCTTCGTGGTTTGAGAATGAGAAACTTTATATACAGATGGAACTCTGTGATCACAGCCTATCCATCCAGAGGACTAAGTTATACTCTGAAGGAGAAATATTAGAAGCAATGTATCAGGTAATTTGATTATTTTATACTCCCTCCTTCCCCCTAAGTTTGTCCCGTTTTACCTTTATCGTCCGTCCCACTAAGTTTGTCTCATACCATATTTGGTAACATTTGAGTGGTTAGAATTCATTCTTACTTTATTCACACTTTATCAATTCAATACCAACCACACAATTCCACTTTTTCTTAAAAACCACACCACTCTCCTTTGTCCCAAACTTAGGGGGACGGAGGTAGTACTTAATACTAAAACAGGTTATCACAGTTTCCCTATTAATATGGGAATTGGGAACTGTACTTTTTCACATTGTCAAAATATACAACCATTCCAAGTGAAGGTTTCTTATTCAATACATAGTAACAGTTACTGAACATATTAGCAAGTTGTCTTCTGGAATGCACATCCTTCACCAACCTTTATTTAGTCCCTTATTATAATCTCAATCTTAATCTAATTTGTGAGAAAGCTAATAAACATCTCAAAATTGGTCAGTGTTTAAGAAAACTTGAGTTTGTATCACATGTTTACTTCAAGATTGGATATCGCATCGTAGTTTTAAATCTTTTAAATACACACTGTCAAGCCAAATATGTGATCGCAGATGAAATATTCTACCTAATGATGTGGTGTCAAATCTAAGAGAGTGGGGGTGTTCCAGGGGTGAACTCTCATGACTGGTTTTTTTTTGTTTTTCTTTTTTAATTTCAGATTGCCAAGGCACTGCAGTATGTGCATGAGAGAGGGGTAGCCCATTTAGATGTAAAACCGGATAACATTTATGTGAAAAATGGTGTTTATAAGCTAGGGGACTTTGGATGTGCGACACTGCTTGACAGTAGCTTGCCAATTGAAGAGGGTGATGCACGCTATATGCCCCAAGAAATTCTCAATGAGAACTATGATCACCTTGACAAGGTTGACATCTTTTCATTGGGTGCTTCTATGTATGAGCTTATCAGAGGTTCTTCCCTGCCAGACGGCGGGCTTCATTTTCTGAACCTCAGGGAAGGAAAAATGCCTCTTCTACCAGGTCACTCATTGCAGTTTCAGAATCTACTCAAGGTACTTTTCTCTGAATTTGAATGTATTTTATATTTCATCCATTCGATACCCCCATTAGAAAGGATCTGTTTGGTTTAATTTTTGGATAATTACATTGTTACTGGAGAGGCAGACTTATTTCTCATATTTTACCGATCCACTCAACTCATAGGTCATGATGGATCCAAATCCTATCCGGCGTCCTTCAGCTAAAGATCTTGTACATAATCCCATTTTTGAAAGGAGACAAAGATCTGTGATAAACAAGTAAGCAGTGATATGGGTGGGCTCTATTTTGTTTTTGGCTTCTTAGATATGTATATATAGCCTCCCAGTCTCCCACAGGACATTTGGCTCCCATTTCATAATTTTGATTGCGCTAATTTTGCTGAGGAGTTATGCAGAGTATCAGCATTATAGAAAGCTGATACATGGTTTTGTGAATTTTGTATGGAAGTATAAAAAACCCATGTATCCCTTATTTTGTGGCATATTTTTAATAAAAATCTATTCATAAAAGGATTTATATTTTGTACTAGTATAAAGTTGTACATTAACTTGTATATCCCTCCCAAATAGGAATTTTTATTCCTAAAATCTTTCAAGTTTGAGAATAAGAATCTTGTGTGAGATAAGGGTGTTTAAAGTGAAGGGTTACTCTCCATCAATTATGACCAGTTATGTTAAATCATACTCCCTCTGTCCCTAAATTTACTTCCATTTCGCTTTTCGAGAGTCAACTTAAATCACTCTTAAACTGTTAGGGAGTGGGAGGCAGATGGGCCGAGGCTCTAGGAGGCAAACGGGCCAATGCTTCAGGAGGACGGGCCTCGCCCATTATTAGTTTATGGGTTGCTGTCAGTGGACCTAATTGGGCTGGGTTGACTGCTGGGTTTCATTACTTTATTTCAGTCTATTGTTATGTCTAATAAACTGTTGGGCCTATATGGTCATATTTTATTATTAGGTTAATGGGCCTAGATGGCCATATTTTATTATTAGGTTAAGGAGTATTTAAGGAGGTCTTGTGAACTATTATTCATTATCGAGAATAAAGATTTGGTTTGAGCCTAAGGCTGGGCAGTCGTTAACACCGTCTGCTAGGGTTTCTTTTTCTGCTTCTATCAATTTGGTCCGACCTGCCGGATCCTATCCACCGCCCTACGTTCATCATGACTCGTTCCACCATTGATCAACGCATAGATGCGATAGAAGCAGACCAGAAGGACATCAGGGCAGAATTGCAATCCACCAACGCCAAGTTGGATGCTATCACGCAAACCCTAGACAAACTGGCGCAGAAGGTTATGGCGTCGGGGGGAACGCTGGCTGATTCTGAGTCAGGAGGAGGAGGAGGCACGGCTGACTCGCAGAACTCCCACAACCCTAGGTCTGTGACCGCACCTCTGACGCTACCAGCGTTTGAGGGGGCAGATCCGATTGGATGGCTTGCCAGGGCCAATCAGCAATTTGAAATACATCAGACCCGACCTGAGTTGAAGGTGGCGTCAGCCATGGTAGCAATGGAGGGTCCTGCTTTGTACTGGTTTTCTTGGACACGGTCGCGGAAACCAGGCATAGCTTGGGAGGAGTTTTCACAAGCCCTTGTAGCCCGTTTTGATACTCGGTTCAAAGGGAGCACGTTCGAACGGTTGGCTGACGTTAAGCAGACAGGATCCATGGATGACTATGTAAATTTGTTCGTGCAATTAGCCAGTCAGGTCCCAGGTTTGAGTGATGCCCACTACTTGGGGTACTTTATGAAAGGGCTACGAGACACCATTCGCAGTTCCTTACGGACCTTACGCCCAATTGATTTGGAAGCTGCTATGGAGTTAGCAAGAGATATCGAAGAAGACTTGGCCGTACAGTCCGGAGGGAGATCAGAATGGGGATACGACAATCAGCAGTGCCGTTCCAGTAATTACACCAAAGTTGGCGGGTTTTCGGGGCTCTCTTCCACGTCAGTTACTGGAAACCAAGGGGCAGCAGGAAGCACAACTTCCTCGCGATCTCCAGGTAGTACTTCGGGGTCCGGGTCAGCCATGACTGGCCAGTCGGAGAATCGCTCCCGGTTCACACGCCTCTCACCGCAGGAATTTGCAGACTTACGTGCAAAAGGGCTTTGTTTCCGTTGCAAGAAGCCCTATACCCCTAGGCATGAATGTCCCCTAAAACAGTTAAGAGTAATGGTTGTCGAGGAAGATGAGGAACTCGACCTCAATCAAACTGAATCTTTTATCCCGCCCGAAGAGGTTGAGCAGCTAGGGGAACAGAAGGAGAAACAAGCAGCAGCTTCTTCACTCCAACCTTGGGGACAAGGTTGTTTTGGAGGGGGATGAAATTGTTAGGGAGTGGGAGGCAGATGGGCCGAGGCTCTAGGAGGCAAACGGGCCAATGCTTCAGGAGGACGGGCCTCGCCCATTATTAGTTTATGGGTTGCTGTCAGTGGACCTAATTGGGCTGGGTTGACTGCTGGGTTTCATTACTTTATTTCAGTCTATTGTTATGTCTAATAAACTGTTGGGCCTATATGGTCATATTTTATTATTAGGTTAATGGGCCTAGATGGCCATATTTTATTATTAGGTTAAGGAGTATTTAAGGAGGTCTTGTGAACTATTATTCATTATCGAGAATAAAGATTTGGTTTGAGCCTAAGGCTGGGCAGTCGTTAACACCGTCTGCTAGGGTTTCTTTTTCTGCTTCTATCATAAACTCTTACTTTTTGTATCAAAACTTTATGAAAATTGATTTTTTTTGTGCAGGCTTTGTAGCGGGTTTAATGTAGTTTCTGAATATGTAAATTTTATTTACTAAAAATAATCCGAGTTTTCACAGGGATCATTTAACTTTATCGTCGGTCAACCTTCGTAATCCGCAATCGGAAGAATATTCAGGGACGGAGGGAGTACAAAATATACTGTAGTAGTTGCGAAACTATTTTAGTTAGAAAAAGTTCAACATTTAATGACACGTTCAAACTATGAAAGTTAACATAATTTTATTCATTTTCAAATCTAGACTTTTAAAATGAATAAATTTCTACCACATCATTAAGTTAATTAGAAACTAGAGAGTGCTTAAAAACTTGAGTGCACTTTTACTGCGGTGCACAAATGATAGGGTCCACTTTCTTGTTTTAAAAAGGCAATCGCACTCTGAGGGGCATCGGTAAACTTTAGGTGCATGATTGTCCATCGTTAGTCTGAGACTCTGAGCCTCTGAGGATGACATTTATTGTATATAATTATAGTTGAAGACTTGAAGGAATATTGCATGTAGCAACTAGCAAGCTAACTAGGAGATGCTAACGGTGGATGACATTTTTTTTTCTAACAAGGAGATGCATATGTGTATATTTTGTAATTATTTGTCGGGAAAAACAATTAAAATATCACAAATTTTGAAGGAGTGAGATAAATATTCCAAATTTGCATATGTAATTAAAGTATTTCAAATTTTATATAAAAAGTTATTTTAGTACCATAGTCAAGTATTATTTCTTTCCAAAATATAAATTTATGGTATTAATTGCACAATTTAAAATATTTTAGCATTCAAGAAGACACGATTAATATTCTAAACTTCTATTGTGAAATAAATAATATTACTTCCAATATATATAATTGTAACGCTTTTAATTTGCTATTTTAAATTGTGTAATTAACATCATAAATTTTTTTTTTTTGAAAAAAATAATACATGACCATAATGCTAAAATAATTTTTTATATAAAGTTTGAGGTATTTTAAATTACAGATGCAAGTTTGAGATGTTTACCTCACATCCATTCAAAATTTGAGGTATTTTAATAAGATTTTACAAATTATATTCTAGCTATAATATGTCTAAAAATTGTTCGAAATATCTTTTGGAAAAGAGTAAAATGTATAAATGACCCTTAAACTATCATCATCTCATCATGTTGGTCCATCAACTAATAAATTATTCATTTTAATCTTTATTCTATTTATTTCGTATCAATTCAGCTCTTTTATCATTTTAAATTGTTAAATTGACATAATGTTCAAAATATTGTTATCTAAAACTCTAAAAGTCATATTTTTTTATTAAGACATTGGACAAAAAAGTTTACTTTAAAAAAAGCCAAAGAATGTTCACGGTGGAAACATCTTCACCGGAAGTGGAATTTAATTAAATAAAAAACGATCAAATAGTTCGCATTATACCTTTAGATTTAATTAAATAAAAAACGATCAAATAGTTCGCATTATACCTTTAGATTCAAAAAAAAATCAGAAATGGAAAAAGATGACCAAAACATGTTAAAATTGACCATAATGGAAACAAAGTAAGTAAGTAACAAACCAATCAAAATTAACCGAAACTAAGAAGCTGTTCTCTTCACCTGATCTGAATGTTTCTGATCTGAATTTTTTAAGTTCTGATCTGATCTGAATCTTTCTAATCTGATCTGATCTGATCTGAATCTTTCTGATCTGATCTGAATGTTCCTGATCTGATCTGAATGTTCCTGATCTGATCTGAATGTTTCTGATCTGATCTGAATCCTTCTGATCTGATCTGAATTTTTCTGATCTGATCCGATTTAAATATTTCTAAAATTATAATTACAATTATAATTACTATAATTATAAATGTAATTACACATATATAATTTAAATATATTTATAATTATAATTATAATTATAAAAATTATAATTATAATTACAAACATAATTATAATAGGTATAATTATTATTATATGTATTACACTAGTTATAAATATAGCTATAATTATAATTGTAATTATATTTATATTTATATTTATTTCTATAATTATAATTTTAATTATAATTATAATATTTATTTCTATAGTTTTAATTGTAATTACTCCATATAATATGATAATAACGAAAACAAAACTAATAACAATAACAACAACAACCATATTAGTAGTAAGAATAATAATAATCATGATAATAATAAATATCATAATAATAGTAATCATAGTAATCATAGTAATCATAGTAATAATAATAATAACAATAATAATAATAACAATAACAATAATAATAATAACAATAATAATAACAATAATAATACTAAGAATAATAATAATAATACTAATAATAATAATATCAATAATAATATTAATTATACTAATTACAATATCAACAACAAGAATAATAATTATTATAATTATTATAATAATTATAATTATTATTATAATTATTATTATTATTATAATAAAAAGGATAAATCATGTCTGAACTTTTCTGATCTGATCTGAATGTTCCTGATCTGATCTGAATCTTTCTGATCTGATCTGATCTGATCTGAATTTTTCTGATCTGATCTGAATAAAATAAGAATAAGCAATAAGTAATAAGATTAAGACGAACAAAACAGCACCTAACTCTGAAGTATATATTTTCGTTGTCAGTTTCTCTATTCTCAAAATTTTCCGTAAAAATAATAGCGATTAACACTCCTAATTTTCATTTTAGACGCTCTTTTTTCTCACTGAAAATGAGAAAAGTTGGGATGGAAGGGGTGATACAATTATTAAGAAAAGTTGGTTTTATACATATAATAAAATGAGGCAATATTAGCGTGACGGAGTGAGTATTATAAATAAAATAATAATAATTTGTGAAATAATATTTGACAAAATATGATCAAACTTACGTGTGAACTAGTGGTAGACACAGACCTAGATAAAATAATATTCTAAATTTCGGACAGGAACTCGCTGGTCCATCGCTCGTCGGTTGTCACTTGAGGCTGCTTGCCACTCGTCTGAGCATAACTCGCCTTGCCGCCTGGATCTACCCCCGCCACCGGAGGTTGCTGCCAATCGCTCGTCACTGCAGGTCATCGATGTAGGTCACTGTTGCTAGGAGCTCGTTTTTCGTTTTTCGTTTTTCGTCATCGTAGGTGCGTAAAAGAATCCGTCATAAAAAAGAGTTGGACATGCGAGAGATTCGAAGTAACAGTCGGTCTAGAAGTCAAAATACTTCCGCCCATGATAACAAACACTCAACGTTTTCAAAACTCACTCGAAACTTAAGTATTATACGAATAAAAAAGTACGACATAGCAAAAAATAAATCTTGAGAACACAAAATTGCAGATGGCCAAATCCAACCTTGAAGCATCGACTTCCAAACCCTGACCCTGCGGTTGCCCCAAGGTGGTGGTTTAGGGTGGACGGACTATCAATACTTCGTCTTTCTTGTTCATCTACTCATCCCTCTTAGTCTCCCGAACTCTTCATGTCCCTTACGAATTTTGCTCCTCTCCAGTGACTGCACTCTTCATGTCCCTTACGAATTTTGCTCCTCTCCAGTGACTGCATTCTTCCCGTAGGAGAGATATAGAGAGGGATGGAGAAATGGTGGGGTAGGGGAAAATAAAAGATGGGGTTTTATTATTTTTTTAAGGAAAGAGATAGAGTGAAAAAAATGGAGAGAAGGAAATGGAGAGGGGTATGACTCGTCCCTTACCTCGTCGTTCATCATGAGTGGAGCAAACCGCACTCCAACCTACTACCTTGCCATCGAAAAGGTTTGCATCCAAACCTACTGCCTCGCCCTCCAAGCCTTGTGTCGTCTTCCCCTCCCACAACAGGAACCGCACTGCACCACCAAGCCTTCCACCAGACACGCCGCTAATCCTCAAGCCTCTAGACCGAAAATTGCTAGGTAACCTCCACACAAACTTGCTGATATAGGTTCTTGTGTTCCATGTTATCTTCTGTCCTTCTGCCCCATGCCAGCAACCACGCCTCACCACCAATCTTTCGCCGGATGCGCTGCCAGTTACCAAACCCTAGACCAACGCTATGCATTGCCGCTCCTATTGCACGTCGTAAACACACTTAGATCGAACTCGATCTCTAGAATCGATCATGTGGAAAAAGTAGTAATTATGCCATCAATTATTCATTGAAGAATGTTGCAATGAATCGCAGCTATAAACAAATTGAACTATTTTCAAACCATTCAACTTGGATTGGATTTCGAATTTAATGAGTTGAGTTTAATGAGCTTTGAATGCAAGCACGGGCCAATCTAAGTTTGAATACTCAATCAAGCCAAACTTTGAGCATAATAGTGTTCCGTACTTCAGTTCGGCTCGCTTCTAATTCGAGCATATCAAACCCCAAAAAATTAAAGATAAAATATATACTCTATTTGTCACATACTCCGTATAACTTTGCCCATTTACTTATTTAGTCATCCTAAAAAAGTTTGTTGATTCTATTCAAAGTAAGACTACTCAGTATGTGATTAAAGTTATTTCTCTCTTCCCTGCATAATTTTTAACCACGTGATTTTTTATTTATTGTTCCACATGCAAACTAAATTTGGTCAAGTTTTGGAGTTTTTTCCAAAATAATTCTAAAAATATATTTACCAGATTAGGATCAATTAAAATTATTTTCCAAAACATTGCTAGATTAACTCCAGTTAAGAAAACCGCCAATTGAACTGATGCCTTGGGCAAAATTAAAGCTTCGCAAGACATGAGGAGAATAACCACTCCTAGGTCCCACAAATAAAAAAACCTCTATTATGTTTAAAGTGATATAACTTTTTTATTTGTACCCTGATTGTTACATAAGGAGAATAACCACTCCTAGTCCCACAAATGTTTTAATGTCATCCATTTTTGCAATAACAACTGTTTAATTAAAGCAAAAAAACTGTTTGATTAAAACTAATCATACTTTCCTTCAAAAAAATTAAAACTAATCATACACAACATGCAAAATTATTAACTTTCCCTTTTGCATACGGAGTATTAAACTTCATATGAGAATCTAGCAGTTATAGCATCATTTAGTAAAGTTATATACAAATATATAATTAAGCACGATTTATAAACTAAGCATGGGTTTGACCACGTCGGTAGTGGCAGATCTTCGGGCCTAGGTCCTCGATAATATTCACATTTTAGAGATATTGGTGACCAAGTATATATACAATTGTCAAGTTGTGGTTTAAGACGATAATTTTTCTATTCAAATTATTTTCGCGTCGGCAACACACGAGTGGAATACTAGTTAGACAAATGCAAAAATGACTGACACTCTTCTAATACATATTGATACTTGATCTTTCTTTGAATAAACCCCTAATAAAGTAGAATTCAAATCTAAATTTATTACAGCTAAAGAGGAGAATAAAACTATACCTGTATGCTTTCTGCTTCAGATATTTAAACTTTAAATGAAAAGAAACACAAAAACTTACAATTTATATCTTCACAGATCCGAATAATAACTCAAAGGTTACCTCGATTTTCATTCGGCCTACATATCTGACTGCATCACCTGAAACTCATGAACTACAAAGTTATCTGACTTACCAAGCATCTCCATGTTATCATTATGTGTGCCGTCCATGTTTGCTTCCATGTGACACACAAAATTATTATGATCTACAGCCACAGTTTCTAAAGGAATCGAATCTTTGTTCTTCCTACGCACACGCCTAGAAGCTGTTGCTGTTGAACCATTACCACCCTTTCTCTTATTGCTTGTACCGAGGAATCCATATGCAAATGCCTCCAACACTTTTGCACTTGGCCTGTTTCTGGTGCTTTGCCTCCTGCTTGCTATGGCTGGCTGGTTTGCTGTAATGGCGGCACCTTCAGACGGAGAAGAAGGTTTCGCACCAGGTACAATATTATCACATTTATGCAACACATTTTTAATAAACTGTTTGTCAGGAATGACACTAGAATTGTCGACTGATTGGGCTGGTCCATGAGTATTCTTAATTGGATTTCTTTCACTACTTTTTTCACTGTCGCACGCAGCAGAACTGTCAGACAATGAGCTATGAGACAGTCCAACTACAAATGATGAATGACCAATTTCTCCTCGGTTTAATAATTCATCTATCACCGTGCTTTGACTATTATGGATGGACTCTTTGTAGTTGGTAATCGATGATAAATTTGACATCTCATGGAGTTTCACCTCATGGCTAGATTGAACATCCATAGTTTGGCTAGACACTTGGCAGACATTGGCATTCTTATCACAACTGCTTTGTTCTTCTTTATAGTTCTTTAAACATGAAATATCGGGCAATTGAGTGTCTAAAGTGCTTACTTCTTCCATAACCACAGAAACCGGTCCATTTGACAGTTGGTTGTTTAGTACATCAAAACCATCATTTGGTTGACCATAATATGTTTCAACAGACCCTCCTTCCACACTATCTGAACTACTCTCTTCACTACGAGGACCACATGGAGTGAAACTGAGAGGGACAATAGGCAAACTCCTGAGTTCCCTTACTCTAACTATTCCTTCCCCGGTATACAAGCTGGTATCTACAACTGTGAAAGTCATGTAATTATGTTTTTGAGTTGAGCTCCGTGGCTGGAGGTAAGAATGGCGACGAGGATTCAATGAAACTTCTGGATCCTCTCCGATCTCAGGATCTGTCGAGCATTTGCCATTCAGACTTCCGCCGTCATCTGGATTTACTTCAAGTTCAAGAAGAGAAGGTGATGAGGCAACTTTCTGCAAAACATCAGCGACTGAATCGAAAAAGTGGATTCCTTTCTCTAATCTTCTTGAAAATTTTTTGACACCTGGCACAAGAAAAACTAAAGATTGCTTTGTACCAGCATATACGACATCACTAGGCTGCTCTGAATGCCACCCCCGTGCTAAAAGACGAGGCCAAATGGCTTCCCAGAAAAGATCGTTGGATCGGGCTTTGCTTAGACGGAAATTGCCAGTCAATAATTTGACAATTTCAGTTGTTGTAAGAGAAGAGCATGCTTTTCCTATAGGAACTTCAGAACGGACAGGTAAAGAAGGATTGGCTTTTGTTGACTCCAAAGCGGTTCCGGTCAGATCCTTCTTTCCTTTGCCCAGGGCTACAGCTTCAACGAAGTTGTTGATGCCGACCTTCTCTTTCAAACAGAATACATACTCTTCAAGCGTCATCTTTCCGTCTCCAAACAGTTTAGAGATCTAAAACAGTCTGAATCAATAACCAGAGTATGGGAGAGCAAATATGATTCAACAAACTAATTAAGATGAAAATGCACATTACCATCATGTTGACCAAGGAACACTCTCTCTCCTCGGGATCTAGTCACATAGTAGTATATGCTAAAAGACACACGTAAAAGAAAGACCTATTCTTTCTGTTAAATAATAAACTACTACTTTTATCGATAGTTTGATGCAACTAGCAACTTACAACTGCATGAGTTCTAGATGCTATTTCAATGCTTACATAGAGAATAATGTAACCAAACTTGGTAGGAATACAAAACCTAGTAGGAATATGAAGCTAAAATAAATTACTGGTTTCATTGATATAACTTTGAACTTACAACTCCATGATTCCTAGAGGCTATTATAATGCTTACATAGGGAAAAACTGTAACTAAACCTAGTGGAAATAGGAAACTACCAAACTATAATACTACTAAAACTATGAAAGTTATATCACTGCTTTAGCATTTCTCTATTTATTAGACAGTCATCAAATAACTTTGGTGCCTAGTCTTTGGTCTTAGTTTATAATTTGACAATGCTAGTGATTCTCAATCTCACTTTCTGCAGAAAATGTACACATAACTCGTTTCAACACATGGCACATTTAGTAACATTATGCCCAAAAGTCTGTAAGCGATTAGCGATTACAGCCAAAGATTGATTTTTTTTTACGTTCAGAACAAAAAAAAACAAGAAATATTTATATTTTAGCTGTGGTCATGGATTTATTGATTTCCTGGAGCTTTAACTCTTTCCTAACTTCGAAAAGATCTGACCACCAGATAATATGCCTGTCAACTTCCAGAACCGCATCCCCTTCCTTTTAAGAAGGAAATAAGAGTTTGATCCTAAAAAGTACAATTGAAGTGTTTTATACAAATCTTTAAAAAATCATCGACAATTTTCACATAAGATTTACCTGGTGTTGATGTCTAAAAATGCATCAACATTCACTGCCTTGTAATAAGAATCTATTGGATTCACACTATGGCCTATCTCAGATTAGAAACTAAAAGAATCTGATTCTGATAATACACTGTTCACAGCTATGAAACTTTCATACACTGTCCTCATTTATAAGATTTATGTATCACCAAACAATCCAGTGGTTCTAAAACTATATTTTTTATTTGAATATATAATTGAACTGCTTTAAACAAAGCAGAGAAGTAATTAAGGAATTACTGTTATGATTTTAAACTGCAGAAAAGAGTCTGATTACTTTCAATCATAAAATTCAGGTCAACCTTTTTTAGGTTACTTGTGCAAAAGAGAGCGCAGATAGTAAGTACCTCAGCCAACATATGATAACATTCCTCAGAGACACGGGACGACAATCGGGACATGAGCTCCTGCTGCCTCCAGCCCATGAAAATTCTTTGACCATATATGCACCGCCTCCCTTTTACCTTGCGACAATCAGACCATCTCTGATAATCTCTAGATCTGTAAAACTTCCCATAATAGTATGACAATATGTCTCCCATATTTTTACTCCCTATAAGCCTACTAACAACAGAAAGGTTTTTCCCAAAAATATACAAGCCAAGGAGGAAGCTAGAATATTCAATGCCATTCCAATCTTCATTAGGTATGCCCGGAACAAGATAGCAGCCATCCCAATGATCAGTGTGAGCTTTCTGTCCAATGATTTCACTCAAAACCACAGATGGAACACATTGTATCCCGTCTGATTTTTCCCCATTCTCCATAAAATCAAGCAAAGAGACGGTTTTGGTCCCTCCATTGACACTATCTGAAGTAATTCTCCCCTTCTTGTTGTTTTCAGATCTTAAAGAGCCACTCCCATTACCACAAGCTTCCTTAAGCTCACCTCTTTTTTCCTCACTCTCATCATATATCCACATGACTGGAATAGGTAAATCCATCGGGTAAGAATTTGATATGTCATGTTTAATGCTTATATTGTATGATTCACTTGCAAGCTGCCCATAGCCACACATGTCCAGAAGAGGAGGGATTTCTGCCTGGTATTCAGTGCCAACTCGAGGAAACAGTTCAGGATCTTCAAAAATATAGTTTGATCCAGACGATCTTTCAGATGGGTAGACTTCAGTAGATTTACTTGTGCCATCCATAGTCCTTCAAATTCTATTATACCTGAGTGCATAAAATATGATTAAACATAATGCAGGATATTTTTTGGGGGGGAAACTGCTCCTGTTTTGAATTCTATTCACATCCATTCTAACAAAATACTGTAACCTCTTCCTCAATAATGCATAAACTAATATTATTAACATCAATTACACACTTAGAAATTTTACTATAGAAGCGAAAAAACGAATTTGAATATGACAAAAATTTATTGCGCTAAATTAGAGGTTAAAAGAAAGTTATGTTCATCATATTAATAGTAAAGGTGAAGTTTATTTATTTAGGGATGAGGGATAACACATTTCTTCAAATATGATCATCATTATTTTCCCATAATATGACTCATTCACTTCAAGAAAATGAACTATTAATTACTTATATTCAAAACAAGGACAATCCCATTTGCCTATATGGATGAATGTGTTACTTCTGCGTGCTAGTCATCTTCTGAGCAATCCTTTCCAAAATAATCAGCATTAAGAAAATAAAAACTCCCAAGCATGAAGGATAATCTGGGAATCAATATTCTCAGTTAATCTATATAAAAAACACGCAATGAAATGAGCTATAAAGTCGTAAAGGAAATGTATGCTGGCTAAACAACAAAGCAGAACTACGTGCACAGAGCAAAAGACAGAGAAGAGCAGGAAGGAAAAAATAGCATAGATAAACTGAACCGGAAGATCTGCCTGCAAAAAATACAAATGGGTTGAAAACTGTATGCATCAATTGACCTTTCTCGTCAACTAAACCGTGCACTTGAACCAAAAAAAAAAAATCAATTCAGACATGAAAAACAAAAATAAAAACTACCCTTTTGCATGCTAGAGAGAGAAGAAAGCTCAGACCTCTTGGTGTGGGATCAAAAGCGAAGAAGTTGAGTTGTAACGAAGGGCTAAGCTTTCGACAAGAGACTTGTCGAAGAGAGATAATAAATATGAAGTGTATGAACTGTTTTTCTTTCTTTTCTTTTCTTTTTATATTCTTCCGGTTGCTTTTTTTTTATGCATAGAAAAGAAGAATACTCGTAATTAACTACTCCGTAATTATTTTCTACTACTACTCCGTATTTGTTTTGCTGATTCATCAGTAAACAAGAGCGCGGAGCGACGACAATTTAAGGCTTTGTTGGGTTCGGATTTGTGTCCATGGGGTGAGACGGCTTCGGTTTTTATGGTTTTCGATTCGATTCAACCGGGAATGGGTTCGAATATTTATTACCAAACAAAAATCATATGATTTTTCAGTTTTGTTCGATTCAATTTAGTTCAATTTGATTTGATTTAGATTTGTTATTTTAATGATATATATGTGAAGATTTTATTTATTTTTTTAGTTTGGTTCGAGTTTTTATCGGTCTTGACTCATTTCAATTTAATATGAATTGGAAAAAATAATATCAAATACTAACCAAATTGCATATGATCCAATTTCAATTCGATTTAGTTAGGTTTGATATAATTCCGTTTGACTAAACCAAACCATATGCCCATTTGAGAGTGGGAAACCAAGTGGATTAAGGCTCCTTACCACACACTAATGTTCTTTTGAATCTTTTCTTGCCTTTACCCTTCTAACCTCTTCTAGATGTTCTCATTTATGAAAAACATATTTTCCAATAATAATATTGTTAAGTAAATAAATTTATAGGCAAAACACCAATAAGATTTGATGGAAGTAAATCCACCGGAAAATAATTAATAAGAGATAGCCGAAAATAATTAAAGTGCTCAGGATAATCTTTAGAGAGATAAATGTGTGTAGTGTATTCAGTGTTTTGAGCTTGATTCACTTTCTAAAGATTACATGATTTTATAGTAGAAAATAAGACATAAAAGATTCGGGCGACATGGTCGCCATGTTCGAATTGATATGCAGATCAATAATCCGGATCCGCGGAATCCTTTGTTGATTGTGTGAATATCTTGAAAAGACGTCGTTGATGTAGTTTGTCGTACGGAGTCGCCATGTAGCAGGGCCGGCCTAGAGGGAGTCTAGAGTGTGCGACCGCACAGGGCCCAAAAAATTGGAGGGCCCAAAATAAAATTTTTAGTAGTAGTAGTACTACTACTTTACTGCTCTGTAATAGAATACAAATTATGAACTTGAAATCTAACACATATTATCAATATTTATGTCAGATAAGAAGACCCAAATTTTGTTATTGTACAGGGCCTTCGTTTTCTCAGGACCGGCCCTGCCATGTAGGCATAACGTCCAAAGACACCATGCATATGTTATTTGGATAAGCTTCTACTACTATGTCCAGGGTCATTGTGGACGCTCCTCTGGCTAAGGTACTTGATCGCGTCCATGGTTGCTGTGGACATGCTCTCTGGATAAGCCTACCCCGACATCCACGATCACTGTGTAGCCCCTGATCTTCTATTAACTTGCGTCCACAGTCGTCATGTACAGTATTTTATCTTCTAACCCGCGCGTGGTCACCATGTACGAGCTCTTCTTATACCTTGTCATCACCCGTGCATAGTTACCATGCACATCAACCTCTAACTGTTTTCATCCATGTTAACCCGGTCAACATTTATCCATGGTTGGGATAATTATACCATCACAAGCCCCCCACTCCTTAAGCCAAATAGCATATTGGCTATAAGGAGTGTAGACACAGTCACCGTGTCAACCTTGAGCGTACATGGTCACCATGTCAACCTTTGTTATTTGCTTTTAACCCATTCAATCATTTACTTTTTTATTTTTTATTTTTAACCAAAATGTATATTTTATATTCTCAAATTTAGCTTCTTCCTGGCAGCTTCGTTGGTGAGGGTCGGCACCACCATAGTTGTACTGCCCAGGTCGCAGTTCGCCGGCAACCAAACCACTGCTCTCCGCCGACCGCCGGCGTCCATTCGCGCAACCAACCAGCCCACCTAAGGTTCCCGTCTGCCGTCGCCCTTCATCAGCTTTCATCGGCCGCCGCGAGCAAGAGAGACATTCCAACTCCACCGCCGCAGCGACCTTGAACCTCTGTAGCTAAACCCAGCACCGTCGCCAGTTGTCCTTATTTCAGTTCGTGGCTCATCTTCTCTGTTGCTTCGTCTTAGTCGCCGCCCCTGTGTAGTCTAGGCCGCAAGCATTTTTGGGTGAGGAGTACTGCCGCCGTTGGACGTCGGGCTTCCGTTGCCGGAACCCAGAGCACTTCGGTGATATCAAGGATCGCTCGCCACTGCCGTCTACTGCCTGTGCCGTTGCCGTTCTTCCCTGGGTGTGGATCCAAGACTTCCAATTCAGCCGCCTCCGCTTGCAAGGGTACGCAGGGATAGCCGGATAGGTACGCTCCTTGCCTTCTCTTTCTCTTCTTTTAGTTTTATTAGCTGCTTGTATTTTGACTTCCTGTTTTGACCGTGGCTCCTTTGGAGTTTATCACTATGTAGGAGTATTAAATTTGATTTGACCATAGCTGCCTCGACTATACACCTTGTGATTATTAATTTTAGTGACATTTTTTTTTGCAGCTACTGTTGTCCATCTCCGAGGTGAACCGAAGGAAAGATGAGCGCGAGCCAGAGTTGTCGCTACAACTCACCGGATTAGCGAAAGAGGTGGCATCGCTCAAGCTCAGTCGTGACACACATGCAGCCGAGATCGCTGCGCTTAAAGAAATACACGCCGTGGAGTTGGCCAATGCAAGGGGGCGGGCCGTGGATGCATACAAGAATTCTCCAGAGTTCGTGTCTGATCAGGAAGCTTACATTAATGCCCACTTGAACGATATTAGCAAGCATTGGTTGTCTACTCCGGATGGCCGTGAGAAACTGGCCTTAGAGAGCTACATCTCCTACCAGATCGGGATATATGCCACTCAACAGAAAATATATCCTATCTTGAGGGATAAGGCTGGTACCTCTTGCATCACTGATTGGGGAATTCCTCCCGAGGTTCCCAACCCTGAGATCCCGGTAGCCAACACGCCCCTGGACTACATTCTTTTTTACAAACTCCCCACTGATGAGGAGCTTGGCGATCCCCATTCCGAGACAGATCACACAGCTTCGACCGCTTCTGTGCCCTAGAGCATGCATAGGAGTGACGGATGGACGTAGTGCAGACTTTAATTCCATCATGTCTTCCATTATGAGTACCTGAACTGCTAAACATGTTTTGAATTTCATAAAATAATAATGATGCATGTCTTATTTTCCTTTCGTTATTGTTTAATATTATCGCATAATTAATTATTTGACCACTATTTTGGTTTTATGAGACCACGCTGCGACCATGCCTTGTTCGGCATGGTTTGTATGATCACTCATAGTAGTATACGGTGATACTACACCAAGTGTATAACTTTGGTGCATTTATCGCCCCATATCTGCCTAATTTTGAATTGAGGCATTGTGTATTTTGAATAGAGTGATTAAGGACAACGATAGGCACAAGGTGTCGTTGACACCTCCTCCTTCGCTACATTGCGCGCATCACTTAGCCCTGAAAAGTAGGACTAAGTGAGCGAACCTAACACTTGAGTGACCTAGGCTTGCTCTGGGGCACACAACGTTTTTTGGGAAACATGGCCGCTATCCGATAAATTTCACAGATGCATCCTGACCATACAACCCTGAGGGTTACGCATTTGTCGGGATCGATTTGCAATGTATCCTCATCCCCTTTCTAGGGGCGAGTCTATACCCCTTGCGTGTTGAGAATTTTAGCTATGTCATAGGAGACATGCCTGGCTACTTACTAGTTTTTAATTCTTTTTTTTTGTTTTGGGTGAGTTTTACACCCACGGTGTCCTTGGATGACACCTTGTAATTTGTTTTTGTTTTGGGGTGAGTTTTACACCCACGGTGTCCTTGGATGACACCTTGTAATTTGTTTTTGTTTTGGGTGAGTTTGACACCCACGGTGTCCTTGGACGACACCATGTTTTTTTTGCGGCCAGGGACTGGCATTATTCACTCTTATGTGGATCAAGGAGATCTCTTATTTGAAAATAGTGGATGGAAAGAGACCGCGTTTACCACCATACGTGGTTACCATAATCATCAGGTGGAGTATCAATGATAAATTTTCAATGATAAAACTTGAGCAAGTGTTCTGCATTCCAAGTCCTCTAAATTTCTTTTCCCTTCGGTGTTTGGAGTTTGAACGTCCCTGGAAGGATCACTGATTTAATCATGTAAGGGCCTTCATAATTTTTGGCAAATTTCCCCTCTTCCAAGGGTTTGCTGACCTCCCTTTTTCTCAAGACATAGTCCCCAACTTCAAAGTTGCGTTTGCGAACTCGAGAATCATGGTATCCCTTCACCTGTCTTCTATAGTTCTCCGCACGGCAGAAAGCCGCTTCTCTTCTTTCTTCAATAAAAAGAAGCTCGGTCACCATGACCTCCTCGTTTGTTTCGGGGTCATATTCCTCTTCTCGGCGGCTATGGAGAATTACTTCCGCTGGCGCCCTCGCCTCGAAACCATATGTCAAGGCGAACGGTGTCTCCCGTGTGGCCTTTCTTGGCGTGGTCCTGTATGCCCAGAGTATCTGTGGTAGTTCTTCAGCCCACTCCCCTTCGGCAGCTTCCAACTTTTTCTTCAAACCGTCCATGATCGTGCGGTTTGCATTCTCCACTTGACCATTCGCTTGGGGATAGGCAACTGACGCATTGCTGTGTTTGATCCCCCAACTCTCACAAAATTCGTTAAACCCGGATGCTCTGAATTGCCTCCCATTATCGGTTATGATCTGTTGGGGTACTCCAAAGCGACAAAGGATGTGCTTCATGACAAATTTCCTGCATTGCCCTTCAGTGATACTTGACAGGGGCACTGCTTCTATCCATTTAGTAAAATAGTCTATGGCAACGATAACCCATCTCACGCTCCATGTTCCCCTTGGTAAGGCACCAATGAGATCTATCCCCCACCTTGCGAAAGGTATAGCCTTGCTGATGGGGGTGTAGTTGGTGGCTGGACGTCCCGGAGATTTCTGGAACTCTTGACACACCACACACCTCTTGACAAATTCAGCGCAATCCTTAAC